CCCCCTACCCTGCACCCATCCACACCTCACCCCAAAGACACCCTGTTTCCGCGTGAGGGTCCCATTCCCGGGAGCCCCCACGGCGCCACTCCAGTTCCAGAAGTGGACGTGGGACTTCCCGCTGGTGACGATGCAGCTGCTGTCTCGAGGGCTGAAGCCGACGGCCAGGACGGAGTCATTGGTGCTCTGAAGAGGAGACACTGGATTCAGCCACCCCCGGCCCGGAGCACCCTCATTCCCCTGGACTCTCTTCCTCTGCCTCCTGACCGCGGGTCTACGGAGTCCAGAATCCCCGGGGCACCCCCCTTCCACACCCCGGGCCCCGAAGAGCAACTACTGTTAGTCCCCCGCCTGCCTGTCATCATCTCCTGTGAGGTCAGAACTCCTGCTGTCCCCACTCCTCAGCCTCACAGAGGGGGCGGCTGGCCCAGGTGACAGGCAGAAAGGAAGTGACAGAGGGATAAGTCTGGACTCTCAGCCCCACCCCCCTCCCAGCTCGGGGGGGCACCTTCAGGCCACCGGGCCCCCCACCTTGATCTCAGCCAGCTTTGTGCCGCGGCTGCAGTCCCACACGGATAGCATGTGCTCGTTGGAATCGTCCACCACGCAGAGAAAAGCACCCTGATCCTGAGGGCGGGACACGCGGGAGGGGCCGAGTGAGGACCAGGGGTCTGGGAGGGCACGGTCATTGGGCAACACACAGCATCACAGGTCGGGAGGGAAGGAGAAGGGACACACGTCCCTCTCTCAGGAGAACCGGCTGGGCAAGGTTCCGGCAGGCCAGGGGGTCTGAGACTTCCTGGTGAGGTGCAGGAAGGGGCTCCCGGACAAGGAAGACGAGGGCCCAGCTCACCACCACGGAGAAGGCCAGGGCCCCCACGCCCCGCTCGAAGGCCCCCAGTCCGATCTCCTGCAGCTTCAGCAGCGTCTCCGAGTCCCACACGTGCACCACGGGCTGCAGGGGCTGGAGCGGGGGAAGGGTCAGGCGTGGGGAGGAGAGCTGGCCTACGTACGGGGTCGTCCTCCGCCTGGCCTCACCTTTCCATCCTTATCCACTCCGGCTGTCTGTCCCGAGGCCACACGGACGCCATCAGGGTGGACGGCCAGGCTATGTGGGGGAGCAGATGCTCTGAGGAAGGGGGGCGGGTCTCTCAAGACCCCCCAGGCCGCCCCTCTCCTCTCTCCTGCTACTCCATGCCCGCCCAGGCCCTCTGTCTGCCAAGCCCAGCACCCCCACCCCAGGCTGCCCACCGCCCGGCCCAGGCCCCTCACCATCGAACGCAGTCCGTGTGGCCCCGGTAGTGTCTCTGGCCGCCGCCTCCAGGCCCCCCGGGGCCTCCCCCGGGCCGGTACAGCACCACCACGCAGGCGATGAAGTAGACCACCTCCCCAGAACGCAGCACGAACAGGTTAGAGCGGGAGTCGCGACCCCTGTACCCGTAACTGGAGTGGGGGTCGCGGTCAAGGAAAGGGTCAGGTCAAGGGCAGGATGAGGAAGGGAGGAGGACAGAGCTTCTGGCTGGCAGAGGATGGTAAGGGAGGACTCAGGGGGTTCCCCGTCCCTGCAGAGCCAGGAGGAAACCATAAACGGGGGGAGGAGGGGTCCCCAAGATGGGAAAGATGGCTCCCAGGGGCCTGGAGGGGGCAGGATACACCCAGTCAAGGCTGAGGGTCTCCGGGGGTGGGCCGCTGGGCAGCTCCTCAAGGCTGCGGATGCCAGATGGGATGTACATGGTAATTGGGCGGCCGCGAAGGAACATCTTCACTGAGATGCCTTCTACAGAGAAAAGGGGGGTGTCAACCACCACCCTGCAGCCCCCCTCCAGGGAAGCCAGAGCAGACCTCTCCCCACCAGACCTCACAGGTCGCTCCAAAGTAGCTCCTGGGGCTCTAGCCCAAACCCTAGCTCTCTCATGCACATTCTTCCAGATGCTTCTGTGCTTACCCAGATTGTAATTGCTCCTCCGAGATCCCGAACCCCCGGGGCTGGAGAGGGGGTCTTTCCCCCCACGGCTGCGGGAAGCAGAAAAGCATGGGGTTGGGGTCGGGTCCCGAGATGGACGTGCAAAGGGGCCGAGCACAGAGGGAGGCCACTGGAGGCCACAGTCACCCCGAGGCACGGTCTGCATGGTGGGCGTCCAGCCCTGGAGGAGACGGACTCCCGGCTCCCCCTAAGGCATGAGCCCCGGCCACATGGCCTGCAGAGGCGATGGCGGAAGGGAATCCAGAATGCCCCCCAGCCCTGCCCTTCGGGGCTCTGGGCCCTTATCTCTCAGGAGGAAAGTAACGAATTCCGGAGATCACTGTCATGGGTGGTGAGGCCTCTTCCGAGAATGAAGGCGAGACCCAGGGCAGGGCTAGAAGGAACACTGGATGTCCTGAGGCCTGGCCACACTCAGACAACTACGCTCAGCCCCTGGGATTTGCCTCAGTCTCAGTGTCCTGCTGGAGAAAGGGGCGGGGCCGAAGCTCTGCGGAGAGTCACCCAGGGAGATCATGGAAGCTTCTGGAGAAGCCTCTTGGCATCTCCAGAGGAACATGGTGACAAGGAGGAAAGAGCAAGGAGCTAGGGTCAGGGAGAGTTGAGTTGGAGTCCTGCCTCTAGCTGTGTGGCCCCAGGCAAATGACTGACCCTCTCTGGGCCTGGTCCTCACCTGGACAATAAACAGCATGAGACCACCTACCCCCAAAGGATGCATGGGACTGAATGAGAGGGAGGTGGTCGAGGACTTAGCACAGTGCTGGCTCCTTTCTTCCTGTTGGGCAATGAGGCCCCCACCCCACCCCACCCGGGGAAGGTCAGAGCCGGGGCCTGGGTGGGGCAGGTTGGGGAGCCTCGCCCACCTCTCCGTGCTCCCTGACCGCAATAACAGGTTGGCCGAGGACGCTGCCTTCCGGGAGAGCTTCTGTCGAGGCCGCTCGCAGGGAGACGAGGAGGAGGAGTTCCTCCGGGCCCTGACGGGAGCAGTGAGCGGTGAAGGTCATCCCCTCGAACCCTGCTCCGAGGTCCTCCCTCCCCCCTCCAGCCTCGGCCACAGGACACTCACGTGTCAGTGCACTGGGGGGACTGGACGAGCCTGAGGATGCCCGGGGAGCCAGCGCCCCCGGGGGAGCCAGCGCCCCCCGGGGAGCCAGCACCACTGCTGCTGCTGCCCCCTCCCTCAGACTGGGTTCCACCAGGCTCTTCACTGCCCCCCTGAGGGGCCGGGGGCCCGTTGCTCAGGCGGGGGGTTGCCAGGGACGCCACCATCTCCAGCTCTGTCTCCGTCTGGGTGCCTCGGCTCACCAAGGAGGGGCTGCACGGGGGTGGCAGTGCTGCGGGGGCTGCAGGGCTGTGGAGGAGACAGAGGATCAGCCAGATCCGCTGAGGCCCCGGAAGGAGGACGAGGAGTGACAGCATGCATACCTGGCCCCAGTCGGAGCAGTCAGGCCAGGATCCCGCAGGGAGCTGGGGGGGTCCTGCAGGGAGCTGGGGGGCGCCTGCAGCCGAAGCAGGCGAAGGGCCTCGGCCAGGGCTGCCTTGACCAGCTCCATCTCCTTCTCCTGCACCTGGAGCCGCCGGCTCAGGGCCTGCAGGGCCTGCTGAGCAGGGCCCTCGCCTGGGGAAGGGGAAGGGGAAGGGGAAGGCATGCTCAGGAGGTCCGCCACCTGGGGGAGGCTGCCCGGCTTTGCATGCGAGCAGGAGGCTGCAGCCCGGTCCCAGGCTGCCCGGAGGGAGGAGACGGCGGAGGACCCGGAGCCTCCTGCTGGCGGGCCGCGAGGAAGCTGGCAGGGCGCCTTTCCTGCCGCCGTCCAGGCCTCCCTCCGCAGGCAGGGCGGCCCGGGAGCCGGGGAAAGCGGGGAGACCTGCCACGGGGCGTGGGAACCGCAGAGGGAGCCGCGGAGCCGGGGAGGGACCGGGCCCACCCAGAGCGAGCTCAGGCTGCAGGGCAGGCGGGAGCCGGAGCGGCAGCCCCGGGGCAGAGCGGGGACACAGCGGGGACCGGGAGAGGAAATGCGGGGTGACAGGAGCGGGCACCGCGGGGCAGAGCCACGGGGAAGGTCCGGGGTCACAGTTGGGGGTCAGAAGTACAATAAAAAGACACGAAATGCCCGCAGCAGAGGCCCAGGTGACCCGGGGACAGGGCCGTCCAGGTGCGGAGGGCGGGGTGGGGGTGGGGTGGGTAAGTCCGGAGGGACGGCCGCAGGGCCCCCGGGACCCGGGGAGCGCCCGGGGGGCCGGGCAGGACGCTCCAGCCCCGGGCCGCGGAGCACGCGGCGCCCCTGGACGGCCGTCGGGCACCAGCAGCGCCGGACCGGCCGGCCGGGCGCTCCGGGAAGGGGCTCGCCGCCCGCCCGCCCCGTACTCACCGGGCCCCCCGGCGCCATCCATCCGGCCCCCGGGCTGGCTCCGAGCGGCGGCGGCGGAGGCGGCGTCTAAGGCGCGGGGGCCATGGCCCGGGGGCGGGGAAGGGGAAGCACCCCGGGGCGCGCGGGGCGCCGGGCCACCCCCTGGGGGCGCTGTCGGGCTCGAGGAGAGGGGCCGGAGGGGGCGGGAGCGCGGGCGCGGGCCCGCCGGGGCCTCGGGCTCTCCCGGGGCCGCTCCGGGCTCCCGGGGGTGGAGTGGCGGGGCCGTCGCGGGCCCCAGCGCCGCCGCACAAACAGGCGCCGGACGCGGAGCCGCCAGGAAGCGCGGGAGGGGGGGCGGGCCCAGGGGGGGCCGGGCCGCCCGGTAACCCCTCCCTGTCCGGGCCCCGCGGCTCAGCACGGGGCGGGGCCAGCCCGCTGACCCCCCCTGGCCCCGTCTGGCCTCCGCTCCCGGGCCCTTCCGGGATCTCCGCCCCCGGGCTCCCTGGGGACTCGTAGGGCGCGTGGACATCGAGGTCTCCGCCCCCCGCCCTCAGCCCCCAGCCCCCCGGGGCCGCCGGCCAGCCCCTCCCCCTTCCGGGAGGGGCCGGGGCGGGGCGTTCCCCCGGGGGCACGGCCGAGGCATCCCGAATCGGCTCCGGCGGGGCCGGGGCGCCGGGCGACCCAGGCTGGGGTGGGAGGGCTCCCAGGGTATTGGGGTCAGGATGGCATTAGCCCAGCTCAAGCCGGGCTGGGCTGACTCAGCGCCCTGCCCGGGCAGCCCGTCCCTGCCAGCCCGTCCCCGCCAGCCCTGCTCCTCCCGGGCAGAGATGGGAGATGGCGCCCGTGCTGCCCCTGGCGCTGCCGCCGCGGCCCCGCGTGCGCCTGGCGCAGGGGCTCTGGCTCCTGTCCTGGGCGCTGGCGCTGGCCGGCGGCCTCACTCTGCTGTGTAGCGGGCACCTCCTGGTCCAGCTGTCGCTCCTTCGCACCTTCCTGGCTCCCTCCTGCCCGTTCGCCGCGCTGCCGCAGGTGGCCCTGGCGGCGGGCGCCGCGGCTCTGGGCACGGGACTGGCGGGCGCAGGAGCCAGCAGGGCCAGTTTGGACGCAGCGCAGTACCCGCCCTGGCGCAGGGTCCTGGGCCCCCTGCTGCTGGCCGGCACCGCGGCGGGTGGCGGGCTGCTGGTCCTCTCCCTGGGGCTGGCCTTAGCTCTGCCTGGCAGTCTGGACTCCGGGCTGGAGGAGGGCCTGGGCGCTGCCATGGCTCACTACAAGGACACAGAGGTGCCGGGACACTGCCACACCAAGCGGCTGCTGGATGAGCTGCAGCTCAGGCACCACTGCTGCGGGCGCCGTGGGTTCAAGGACTGGTTTGGGGTCCAGTGGGTCAGCAGCCGGTACCTGGACCCCAACGACCATGATGTGGTTGAGTGAGTGACTTGCTGCTCTCCTCCTCCTCCTCTCCCATCCTTTAAAACCCCACCTCACCCAGACAGGCACCAAATAGAGCTTAGTGACTGAGAGAATGAGTGACAGCTCGGCCATGATTGAGCTGCGTGGCCCAGGGCGCGTTAGCGAACTCCTCTGGGCCCGAGTCTCGTCTGTAGGAGGGAGAAGGTACCAGTGTCTGTCTTACCGAACTGCTGCGAAGACAAATGCATAGCGCATGCTTGGCACGTAGGAAAGCAGCTGGAAGTGTGTCCCTCTCCTTTTCCCCTTCTCACTCTGTGCTCCAGCTCCTCCCCAGGCCTCCATCTCCAGACACCCTCACACCCTGCCCCTCCGTTTGCAGCCGGATCCAGAGCAACGTGGAAGGCCTCTATCTGATTGACGGAGTCCCCTTTTCCTGCTGCAACCCCCACTCACCGCGGCCTTGCCTGCAAGACCGGCTCTCAGACCCCCACGCCCACCCCCTCTTCGATCCCCGTCAGCCCAACCTAAACCTCTGGCCTCAGGGATGCCACGGGGTGCTGCTGGGGCACCTGCAGGGGCTGGCGAGCACGCTGGGCAGCATGCTGGCCGTCACCTTCCCGCTGCAGGTGAGTCCGCAGCGCCTGAGGCCTCCCTCGCCTGGACCGCCTCACTGCCCCCGACCCTGGGGCCCTGCACCGCTGGCCCTCACCCACCTCCTCCCCTTGCTTCCCCCAGACTGCGGTGCTCCTGGGCCTGCGGTACCTGCAGACGGCGCTGGAGGGGCTTGGAGGAGCCATCGATGGGGAAGGGGACGCCCAGGGCTATCTCCTTCCCGGGGGGCTGAGGCACAGGCTGAAGACGGCCTGGCTGCAGGGAGGGGCTGCCCGCAGGCCAGCACCCGGGGAGGCCCCTCCCGAAGAGGCACCGCCCACGGAGGACCCACCTGAGGCCTAGTGGCCTGGAGCTGGGGTTGGGGTCGGGCAGAGGGGAGAAGGGCCCATGGTGGGGAGGGGTGTCCCTGGGATCAGAATGAAGAACAATTAGCAAGCTGGACGGGGCAGGAGAAAAAACAAGGGTCCGAGGGCCTAGCCCCTGTGGCCAGAACAGCCCAGAAACAGAACCCCCAGCGTGGTGGGAAGCGGCCCAGGAAGCGCTGGAGATGCTGCCTTGCGGACTCAAAAGAAGCTTCTGGACTGAAGCCGCTGGTCCCCTCCTCCAGGGGGCGCTCCTGAGAGCATGGTTTCCGTTTGAGAGAAGCCAGGCCAGGGTTTGACCCGGTGAGAATCAGAATGCGAGACGCAGACTAATAAAACGCAGAAGATGAGAGGCCCCTCAGGTGGAGATTTTTTATTCTGGAGGTAGGAGGGGTCAGCATGCTCAGGTGGGGAGGGTCCAGCCCAGCTCCTCCAGCCCCACCCCCGCCCCCTGCATGCCCAGCCCCAATAAGTTACCCAGTTACTCAGCGGCCCTCCCTCCTGAGTCCGTCTGTCCTCCTGCTCCGCCCCAGACAGGGCTGACCCGGCTCAATACAAGGGCTGCTTGTCCCCAGCTGTGGGCAGTGCCACACAGCGGGCTGGGGGAGGGGAAGCAGCTGGGCTGAAATGGCAGAGGGGCCGCCCCGCCCCTGGCGCTGAGGGGTCGGGTCGTGGAGGACCGCACCCGGCCCCACAGGCCTGTGCGAAACGGTCGTCGGCTGGGGCGTCCGTCACACCTCCACGGCGGGGTCTGAGCCCCGGCCCTGCCGCTGCAGCTGCTCCTCCTGCTTCATCTTGGGCTTCTCCGTCCGCGTGTGCCACACCAGAACCTGTCCCGGGGGCCTCCCGTTAGAGCCAGGCCCCTGGGGCACGCCCGCTCCGCACTGGGGAGCCTCGGGCCCCTGAAGTGGGGCCTTAACCCCCTAACCTCTGTGGGCCGTCAGGTGCCCAGGCCGCGGGGAGACAGATGGCAGGACCCCACTTCCCTTCTCTGGCTCCCCGCGGCCTTCAGGAGCGTAAGCAAGGTGGGAGCTGAGTTCCGGAGGGTCCCTCCTGCCCAAACACCTGCCCTGTGATCCTCACCCCACTTCTCCCGCCCCCCGTCCCCCCGCGCTGCGGGCCCACCTCCGTCCTCTTACCCGGGTGCAGTTGGCAGCCCGTGGCTCCAGGTCCTTGGGGTCCACCAGGTGGCTCAGGAGGCTGCTCTCCAGGTGGCCCCGGGGAGCGGTGGCGTCAAACTGGGCATCGGGCTTGGCCAGCAGCAAGGGCAGGGCCACGGCAAATCCCGCCATATCCACGGGGAAGGGCCGGTTGGGCTCCCACGCCGTGTGGAAGCCCACGACCCGGCCGTCCTGTACCCGCGGGCCCTCGAATCGCAGGCCGCCCACCAGCCCCACGGGCCACACGGAGACGCCGCGGGTCCAGCGCATCTGACAGTCAGGAGACAAGAAACAGACGGTGGCCCAGGGCACAGGCAGCAGCTGGGCCCTCTGCTCCATGCCCCCCCTCCTCCCCCAACAGCCCAGACTCAGCAACAGGGACAGCCAGCGCCCCTTTCCCGGCCCCTCCCCGGGGCTCACCTCCTCAAAGAGTTCCCGGCTGTAGGTGTTGTCATCGTCGGCAAAGTACACAACCCCCCGGATGCCCGGGGGCGGAGGGTCCTTCTCTCCCCCCACAGCGCCCCCTCCACTCCGCAGCCAGTCCAGAGCCCGGTTCCGTTGCTCTACGCCGCGGGGCCGAACCCAGCCCGGCTCGCCCTCCCGGAGCCTCTGGGCCTTGGGCGTGAGCACCGCCAAGTGCGTGAAGAGGAGGCCGGAGGCGGCCAGCAGCCTGGACACCAGCGGGGTGGGGCCCTCCGCGTCCTCCACCAGCAGCCAGTGCAGCCGGGGCACCAGGCTCAGGGTCTGCGACAGTCGCACCAGCTCGGCCTTCTGCACCAGCCTGGAGGGCGAGAGGCAGCAGCAGGGAGAGGGGAGGCATCAGCTGCCACTCCAGTCGGCAGACACAGCTTCTCCCGACCCCCTCCTGGCATCCCAGGGCCTTTCCCCAACTTCACAGGGACGCTCACCTGCCCTGCCCTCCCCCTCATGTCTGCCACCCACCTCCCCCTGGGAGACACCCTGGGAAGGAATGCCAGGTTTGTAATTAGGGAGACATCGGGGAAACGGCTCTCTTTCCCCCAATCGCAGTTTCCGGGCTGTCACATGGGAATAACTGGACGCTACAAGGCTGTTTTGGAGATTAAAAAAGATAGTGATTTCCTGAAACAGCGGTGGGACCAGGCGCTTTTCCTTCTGTGCTAGGGTTTCCAGGGACAGGGATCCAGGAGTACCCTGACCCTCTCCTCACCAGGGGGCGATGGTTTATCCTCCTTTAGACAAAGAACTGGGAGGTGGGGCCCGTGTGTGTGTGTGTGTGTGTGTGCGTGTGAGTGAGTGTGTATGGAGGGGGAGAGGTCTAGAGCCGCCCGTGCCTAGATGGCTCAACCATCTGATTCCAGGGAGCAATCAGCAGGCCCTTTGGCGGCAGATCCAAAACCACAGCTTCCCACTTGCTCTGTATGAGTAATAAAGGCTACATTTTCATTAAAAACAAAAAAAAGCACAGCACTGAGCCCTGCAACTTGTGGTTCCATGCGATTCCTGGTCAGGGCACATGCCTGCCTGACACTCCAACCAGCGGAGCCACACCAGCCAGGGCAGGACCAATCCCTTGTCTACTTCAGGCTACACAGGGGTTCTCAAACTTTCTCACCAAAGGATCCCTAAGGAGAGAGAGTGCACTCCGTGGCAAGCTCCAAATTGCTTTGAAATGATATTGTTCTCTCTTAACATTTCTCAGAGATTTTGTATGCTACTTCATCGTACACCCCTATCTCTTTGAGTGGAAAATAACCATTTTCCCCACACATTTCTGAGTCAAGATGTGGCTCATTTCTCCTGTCATTTGGCATGCTCTAGCTTGAGAAACATCCCCTAGCCCAATGCCTCCCCCAAATCCTCTCCATCAACCCCAACCTCTTGGCCCGTGCAAGCCTCTCAGGTGCCCCAGAGCCCATACCTGGCATAGGTGGGGGTAACAACATAGATAGTAGGCAGGGCCTCAGGCTCAGGGGGCTGGGCAGGGGCAGGGGCAGGGCGACGGAGATCAGCTTGCAGCTGGGAAATCCTCAGATCCTTCTGGCGGAGCTGCTCTGCTGCTGCCCGCAGTGGGGGGAGGCAGTCACATGGCTGGCCTGGTCCAGGGAAGCAGGGCAGGGGCAGAGAACGGAAGCACAGTCAGTAACCCAAAGGCCCATCGTGTCATCCCTCCAGCCAGTGCAGGCATCGCCTTACAGCTTCCCAGACAGACAGCCTTCTGCACCTCCGGGGTGGGAACCCTGTCAGCATCCCCTCTGCAGCTGCCAGAAACCCCATCTGTCACCGTTTCATTGGGATGCTGAGCTGATTATCTGCCTCCATCCCTTCTCCCGGCTGGTTCCAATGTTGCCTTCTGGAGTCATAAAGAGGTCTGTCTCCCTGACCCAGGTCAGTCTCAAATACCTGAGGGTCAGCGGCGGCCCTGCCTGGAAATCCCTCCGCTGGGTTAAACTGACCAGTTCCGTTATTGGACAGTTTTTATGGAGTGCTCCTCCCGGGAGGCGCTGCCCCGGGGGCCGGGGATGCCTCAGGGAACAAGGCGGGCATGTTCCCTGCAGGAGGCGGCCACTGAGCAAAGAACACTGCCAACTGTGAGCGGGCCTGGAGGAGGCGGACCGTTAGAGCAGGAGAGAGAACCAGAAAACAAGCAGCAGCGTTCGCTCCGCGGGGCCAGGGAAGGCCGTGAGGCGGGGACCCCTGCGCGGAGCCTGCGGGTTGCGCAAGCGGAGGCCCCGCAGGAGGGAGCGGGCTGACAGCCGGCAGAGGTCGGGGCGTGCGGGTTCGGAAACTGTCACCCGCCGGTGAGGCCGGGGCAGAGCGGGCCAGAGGGTTAGGAAACGGGTGACCGCGCGGGGCCCTGGACGCCGGGAAGGGGCCTGGACTGCATCCGGGGTGCTTCCAGCGAGGGGCCTGCGCCCGGCGGCCGCGCCGGGAGAAGGGGGCCCGCACCCGCTCACCCCCAGGCGGGGAGCTCCCGCCCGCCCCGCTCACCGAGCTGCACCAGCGCGTAGAGGAGGCCGGCGATCGACACCAGGAAGTAGACGAGAAACACGTTCTTCAGCTTCAGCTTCATGGCCGAGCCGCCGCCGCCGGCGACCGGGCAGGCGGGGTCCCGCAGGGCCAGGGGGTCCCGCAGGGCCAGGGGGTCCCGCCCCCGCCGGACAGCCTGCAGGCCCTGCCCCGGCAGCGGCTCCGCCCCGCGGCCCGCCCACCCCGCGCTCCCCGCGACCCGCTCCCGGGAACTGGGGCTGGGGAGCCGGCCCGCGCCCACATCCGGTCAGTCTGGAACACCCGCACTCTCCCGGGTTCACTTCCGGTCCCCCCGCCGGGTTCTGGGAACCGCGGGGGTCGGTGACGTCACATCCGGCGTGTCGAGCTGTCAGAAGCCGGTGGGAGCACGTGGGCGGGACTTCGAGGCCTTCCCCTGAACTGCCGCCCTGCGCCCGGCTTTTCTCCTCTCATTCACAGCCACAGACACCTGCCGCGGAGTGATGGACATGCAGGGCCTGTCTTGTGCTCTAGATCCGTCTCCCATGATCCTCGCTATGATCTTAGGAGATACATGGTATTTTCCCAATTCATAGATACGCAACGAGGATTGACAAAAGTTACGTGTCACCATAAGAAACATCCAGGCTTGCAGAGAAGTGTTGTGAGTTGATTTGAGCCAAACTGTCCACAATTGCCAGGAAGCAACATTTCCATGAATTGAGAAAATGCTCCAGAGAATGGCAGTCTTGCATCTTGTTTTATACATCACTGTCAGAAGACATAAGGGGGTTACCTGAAACCTACTGCTGATAGAGCAGGGAGGCAGGAGAAAGCAAGATGAGGAAACTTTTGGGATTGAATAAAAAGTGAAATGATAGCCCAGCTGGTGTGGCTCAGTGGATAGAGCATTGGCCTGTGGACTGAAAGGTCCCAGGTTCAATTCCCAGTCAAGGGCATGTACCTTGGTTGCAGGCCCATCCCCAGTGGAGGGCATGCAGGAGGCAGCTGATTGATCATTCTCTCTCATCCATGTTTCTATTTCTCTATCTCTCTCCCTTCCTGTGAAAAATCAATAAAATATATATTTTTTAAAGTAAAATGATAGCCGAGACCAGTTTGGCTCAGTAGTAGAACGTCAGTTTGGGGACTGAAAGGTCCCGGGTTCGATTCCGGTCAAGGGCATGTACGTTGGTTGTGGGCACATCCCCGGTGGGGGGTGTGAGGAGGCAGCTGGTCGGTGTTTCTCTCTCATCCACGTTTCTGGCTCTCTATCTCTCTCCCTTCCTCTCTGTAAAAAATCAATAAAAAATATATATTTTTAAATGTTATAAAAAAAGTAAATTGATAGACACATACTTGTTTCACATAGAGGGTACCTGTGCTTGCAGGGCTGGGGGGGAAAGAAAATTACTTTGACATTCCAAAGGTGTGTTATCTAGATGCAAAAGCCAACAGACAAGGCTTAATGAAGGTGAAAATGGAACTCTGTCAGGGACATGGCCTCTCACCATAATAAACTTTTAGTTCAGAAGTTTTCATTTCAGACCATCTTGTGTGATTACGTCAGGCCTGTGTGTGTGTAAGGCACCACACGGCCTTCCCTGAGCCAGCCGGGTTTAATGTGGAGCCTCTTTCCGTCCATATATGTCATCGCCCCTGTGCCGTTTGCTACAGCCTTTCTGGGTACATGATTCCAGGTATCCTCTGATGCCCATTAATCAGGTGATGATGGGGATTAATGGCGGGAGGGGGGGAGGCAGTGGGCTGTCTCCCAGGCAATTGAGTGAAATATTTCCTGAGTTGAGGAATTTCATAAACACATCCTCTAACTCCTGAAATGAAGCAGAGTTTTGCCACCCAAAATATGCCTTTTTGGGATATTATTTTAAGTTGATTATTTTTAAGAAATGACTCAAGCCCAGCCGGCATGGCTCAGTGGCTGAGCATCGGCCTTTGAACCAGATCAGGAGATGATTCTGGGTCAGGGCACGTGCTGGGTTGCAGACTCCATCCCTAGTGTGGGGCATGGTGCAGAAGGCAGCTGATCAGTGATTCATTCTCTCTCATCACTGATGTTTCTCTCTCCCCCCTCTCCCTCCCTCTCTGAAATCAACAGAAAAATATTTTTAAAAAATGACTCCAGCCCTAGCTGGTTTGGCTCAGTGGACAGAGCTTCAGCCTGTGGACTGAAGGGTCCTGAGTTCAATTTTGACCAAGGGCACATGCCCAGATTGTGGGCTTGATCCCCAGTGGGGGGCATGCAGGAGGCAGCCGAACAATGGTTCTCTCTCATCATTGATGTTTCTCTCTCTCTATCCCTTTTTCTCTCTGAAATCAACAAATATATATATTTTTAAAAAGTCTCCAGAAGAGCCTTTTTCCTCCCCCTGACTTGCCTGAGGGAATTCAGAGACAGAAAAACCTGCTTAAAGAAAGGGAGCTGTCACCTTAAGGTCCTAAGAAGGAAGAATGGCAAGTGTGTTAGACTCCCCTCTGGCTCCCATTGTTTCTGGGTGGCCAGGCAAGAATTTGTTTACCAAATGTTTGCTCCTTCTCACCTGCCTGTGAATTGCCTCCTTCCCCTTTGAAGTCCCAGGTCCTGCCTTGTGGCCTGTGGTCTGGGGCATTTGAACCTTACCTGCCTGATTTGTCCTCAGTCCCATATTCTCACAGACCTGAAGATTATTTCCTCCTGGTAATCTCATTCAGTTCATTTAAAAAGTCAGAAATTAGAAGTGTAAAAGAAGTTATTTCCCCTCCCCACACTCATTAGGTACAAATCATCCTAAGCAGTAATTTTCCCTTAAAAAACAAACCAGTTTTTTAAAAATATATTTTATTAATTTTTTACATAGAGGAAGAGAGAGGTAGAGAGTTAGAAACATCAATGAGAAAAACATCAATTGGCTGCCTCCTGCACACCCCCCACTGGGGATATGCCTGCAACCAAGGCACATGCCCTTGACGGAATCGAACCTGGGACCATTCAGTCCTAAGGCCAATGCTTTATCCACTGAGCAAAACTGGCCAGGGCCAAACTAGTTTTCTTATGAAATAATCTCTAAGACTTCTGGACTGTCTACAAAATGGAGAACTACTTCCTGTCATTAAAACAGTGGTTTTAAAATGCTGCTAAAGAGAAGCAGCCTTTAGTGTGAGAACATCTGGTCATATAGCTATTTCTCTTCAAGAGGGATCCCAGTAGCTCTGGTCACTACTATTAAATAGGCCTACCAAAATCTTGTCCTAAAAAAATACCCAAACCTGCAGAGAACTTGTTTAGTTTATGTGAGCCAAACTGAGGACAAATAACAGGCAGCAAGTCCTCAAATGCCCTGGAGAATGGCAGTTTGGAGCTTATTTTATAATTAAAATCAAAGGCATAAAGAAGGTGCAGGAAACCCACTGGTGGTAGCTTAGGGAGAAAGCATAGCAGGGAAGTACCTAGCATGGGTAAGAGGCAAAATGGAGAGGCACACACTGGTTCACACTGGTGGGCAGACAGTTAATAAGTAAGATTTGAGGCACCTAGAGACAGTATGCAAGGAACTCGTTCCCAATGAGGGGCTCACGCTCCGGCAGTCCTGTGTCTGCGCCTTCCAGGGTTAGGAAAAGAAAATTGCTCTGACATTCCCTATGGTTCAGGCCAGCACTAGAATCCAGGCACAACCACTATTTATTGTTCACCTCTATCTGCCCTGGCCAGCGTCCCCGTTAGCTGGGCAACCTCCCGTGCACCAAAAGGCTGCCGGTTCCATTCCCAGCACATGCCCTGGTTGCTGACTCAAACCCTGGTAAGGGGTGTGCAGGAGGCAGCTGATAGATGGGAAGTTTCTCCTTCTCCCTCTCCTCCAAGGGTGTGTTATCTTAGAGAGCCCTGGCTGGTGGGTCAGTTGGTTGGAGCATCATCCCATGCACCAAATGCTGCAGGTTCAATTCCCAGTCAGGACACAGACCTAGGCTGGGGGTTCAATTCCCTATCGGCATGTGTGTGTGTGTGTGTTTGTATGTGTGCAATCAATATTTCTGTCTCTCCCTGAAGTTGATGGAAACATTCCTCCTGGTAAAGATTTTAAAAATTAAAAAGACAAAGCTCACATATAGATTGACCTTTGCTAAGGAAGATCTAGGCCCAAGATGCATTATTTATCTTATGACTTCAGAGAGGAACAGAACATCAATGAGAGAGAATCATTGATCGGCTGCCTCCTGCACAACCTCCACTGGGGATGGAGCCTGTAACCCGGACGTGTGCCCTGCCTGACTGGGAATTGAACCGTGACCTCCTGGTTCATAGTCTGAGCCGTGCCGGCTGGACCTGTGGTAACTTTTGGCCACTGAGCCTGTCAGGCCTGCCAGGTGGCCTTCTGGAGCGCAGCAGGTTCATTGCGTCACCGCTTTCTCATTCACAATCCGATGGCCTCATGGGGCTCCTCTAGGACAATGTTGGCACCCAGCAAACTGAGACAGGCTTGCTCTCTTCATTTTTCTGAATGAACAAGGCTTATGCTGAGGCTACATATTATACAATGTCAGGCCTATAGGCTTCTAAGGGTCTATAGTTCAGGCCAGAACTAGAATCCAGACACCAACCACTATTTATCGTTTATCTCTTTATTGTTTCTCCTTTTATCAAAACCTGTCACAGCTGGGGGCCAAGAGGAAGTAAAAAAAAATTTGTCACAAATATGTCCCCTCATCCCCAGTTAGTCCTCCCTCACTCCCCACCCCCCATCCAGGGCTTCGGGCCAACCCTGGGCACACATGATCATCCCCCCCACCCCCTCAGCCTTCTCCCAGCAATAAATACAGGTGACTGTGATTCAATGAAACCACAACTGATTTCTCCATCTTGAATGCCCCTCAAGGGGACAAAAAGGGGACAAAGTAAGTGTAATGCCCAACCCCACTTAAGAAGTGGAAACTTCTCTCCCCTAAGGACAGAGGGCAGACCTGCCCCCGTCGAGCTCCAGCAGCTCCGGAAGGAACGGGAAAGAGGCAAGGTTGGAAGCAGCGGGAAGAGAGGGAAGAGGACCTTCTCCAGAAACCTCACGCCTTTGATCACTCAGCCTCACCAGGAAGGATGGTCCCCGGGTCTCAGTGGGACACAGAAAGGGGAGGGCGGACAGAAGCAGCAGGAGGAAGAAATAAAGAGGGACAGCAGTCTGGGAGGAGGAAGCAGTCGGAGAAAAGGAGCCCTAAAGCTCACTGCCCTCAACTTCTTCCAAGGAATGGCATCAACACCCCGAGATAGGAGTGGAGAGGGTCTGGGGGTCCAGGACGCCCAGAAGGAGAAGGGAAAGCAAGGGCCCTGTGGTCCCAGGTCTTCACAGGTGCATGTGCCCCAGACAGAGCAGAGCAACAGAGTGCTGGGGTGAAGGGAGGCTCAGGGACTTGGGGGGAGGGGGTGTTCACAGCACAGACAGCCCTCTCCTCCTTCAGGTGCTGGCAGAACCTGGGTCCTGGGATAGGAACAGTGATGTCTGGGAAAGGTCAAACTCCGAGGCGGAAGGAACAGGAACTCACATCACAACAGCACCCTCCCCCCAGCACCCCTCGGGTTATCGCAGGTGAATGCTCCAGTCAGAGGCCACGTTGACGCCAGGCTTGCGCAGGATCAGCACAGAGGTCTCGGGGTCGTGCTGGAAGGACAGGCGGCTCTCGGGAGATCCTGGTGGAGGAAGACAGGGTCGTTGTCATAGCGATAAACTCACATATACCCACTCCTTTGCTACGGCAGGGTGTCCCCAGCCTGCCCTGCCCTCCCCTCTCCTCACCTTTGGTCTGGAGCACCACAGCTGCTGGCTTCCCAGCCCCCATGATCACCACCCGCTCAATCCAGATCGGGGTCTCAAAGTGGCCTTTGGGGTCTGCTGAGCTGGAGGGAGCGAGATGGGAGTACAGTCAGGGAGAAAGGCGTCCGAGTAGGAGGAAGGAGGTGCACCACAGCAAGAAAAGGGCCCGGTGAGCTGTGAGCACCCCGAGGCCCAGCCGCCCCAGAAGCTGCCCAGGCAGAGGGCGCCTCATTACCTGGAGACAAGGGCGTTGCCAGAGAATGAGAATCGCCGCAGCAGGAACTTGTGCTGAGTCTGGTAGTTGAACGTGTGCCCGTCGTCTAGAAAGAGCTCTCCTTGGGCTGTGCCCTGCGGAGGAAGTGGGACCGTGAGAGCTGAGCCAGGCGGGAGGGAGGTCATCGATCCCGGGGGCCGCCCATGCCTCACCTGCGGGCTGAGTGCCACAAAGAGCGTGATGGGGTCATCCTTCATGCAGTCTGAAGCGCGCCGCACGCGCATCCACCGGGGCACAATGGTCCCTCCGCGCTGGAACACGGGGATCTGGGGAAGGGCACAGCTGGATGAAGCTGGCTGCTGTCCACCCGGCCTTGCAGCATCTTGTGTTCGCACACAGGCATAAGCACATCTCCCCTCAGGAAGCCTCCAGGCAGCCCAGCTGGGGAGGGGGCGGGCATACTCACACTGCTGAGAGTCACAGGCAGGTACAGGGTCTGCGGACCGTGATGCTTCTGGTAGCTCTGAACGTCATACCACACCTGTGGGCGACAAGAGAGGATTTGGTCACTCACCACACAGGGCCACCCTCTCAAGTACCCCATCTGGCCTCCCATCCATCATTTCCCACCACACCCTTCCCTAACTCACCTCCCCTTGGCCAGGCAAATAGACCTGCACACCATGAGCCCCAGGGTCTGATACAGGGTGAACCAGCAACGCATCCCCTAAAAACACACCAGAAATCCACTCAGAACTAGAGAGATCGGTTCCCAGACAGGGAGCACCACGGCGCCTCCCTCCCATGTCCACAGCCCTCCCCCACCAGCTGTGCTGCACTGCTCACCGAGCAGGAACTGGTCGTCCATACTGAAGGTGCTCACATCCTGAGGATAATGTACCCACAGGGGCCTGGGAGGAGGAAGACAGGAAAGGAACACACCTGCTGTTTTGGCAGATGTCCCACACGCCACCGCGGCAGCTGATAAGAACAGCACAGGCGGGGAGCGGGAGCTTGCAGCCAGCGTGCGGGGGAGGACTTCAGCTCGGCGCCCTCAGCTCGGCGCCCTAAGCTCTGCCTCGGCACAGAACTCCCTCGCCCAGCTCCCTGCCCCCACTGCCGCCCCTCGAACTGCTCTGCACGCAGCCATCAGCGGCCGCTTGGTGACCCTGGCCAGCAAGGCCTGCAGGACCAGGTCCTCCTGTCTCTTCCATCTCATCTCCTCCCTCTCCTTCCGGTTCCTCCCCGGAGACACGCTGCTTTTCCAGTCCTGGAACACCACGCACCCGTTTCCACGTGAGGACTCTGCACTTGGAGCCTCATCTGTTTGGAACTCTTCCTCTAGATCACAAAAGCCCATCCTAGTCCTCACTCAGGCCTCCCTCACATGGTGGTCTTCTCAAAAAGGCCACGAGTGGAACCTGGTTCCATATGCTCTTCTATTTTCCAAAGAGCTATCACTACACTGCTGGCAACTTTCTCATTTTATGTATTTGTTTCCTCCCAAGAATAAACGTTCCTCAGCTAGGACACTTGTCGGCCTCGATTCCGCGCTGGGGGTGGAGGTGAATAATGCCTCGCCTGCCATAATGTCCACTTCTAGCCGCTCCTATTGACCCCTGCTTATGCTTGCGCTTCCTTTGCAGAGCCTGGCGAGTGAGGAAAGGTGCAGAGATGGAGCCGTCCCAGCCAGCCCCTCATCGGACGCGCAGACCGGGCCTCACCTCATGACAGGAAACCCTTCGCGGTGGGCCTGGTAGAAGAGAGTGTACCAGAAAGGCAGCAGGGAGTATCGCTGGCCCAAGGCATCTCGGATGACGTCGTGGTACTGAGACGGTAACAGCCACGGCTCTCGCCGCCCAGTGTCCAAGTGGGCATGTGCCCGGAAGAATGGCTGGTAGGCACCCATCTGGTACCAGCGCACAAGCAGCTCTGGCTCCGGATTCTTGAAGAAGCCGCCCACGTCAGCTGGCAGAGGGGAGGAAGGTGGAAAAGGGGGTGAAGGAGGGCAGCTGCCTAGGCGCGCCCCAAGGCCCCATGCTGGACTCTCAGCTCTCCATTCATGCCCAGGTCCTGTGCCCGCTACCTGCCCCCCCGAAACCGAGGCCCACCAACTCCCTCTCACCCCCACAGAAGGACAGCCCCACCAGCGCCAGGCTGAGGCACATGGGGATAGAGATCTTCAGGTGGTCCCAGTCTGCAGTGTTGTCCCCTGTCCACACGGCTCCTGGGGGAGACGAGAGGGAGGGAGCTTGCAAACAGGAAGGGCTCAGCCTTTCAGCTGGCCTCTGACCTGCCAGCTCAGCTCTGGCCCCAGGGTCCGGAAGAGGAGTCACAAGAGCACGTGCATGGACACCCCTCCCTGGCTCCCTGAAGTGCAGAGCCGGAGGCTGCATGGACGGCTTTCGCTGAGAGCCAGGCCCGGGCCCCACGGCTCCTCCCCACTGGCCTCCCATCCTCTCCCTCAGCTCTACCCTCCGTCTTACCAAAGCGCTGGGAGCCAGCGAAGAACGCCCTGCTCAGGACAAAGGGGCGCTCCACACCCCCAGAGCGCTGCACCAGACCGTCAGCAGTCGCCATGTGCTGGTGAAGACAGGAGGGGGCAGTGAGCAGCTGTCATCTGCTGCAAGTTCCCCAGCCCCAGCCCTCCGCTCCAGCCTCTTACCACGTAGAAGCCATAGATGTTGTGCACGTCTCGGTGCTCCCAGCCGCCGTAATGCTGGGCGTCCTTGAGCATGGTGACCTCAGGGCCATTGAACACAGAGGGTTCGTTCATGTCATTCCAGACATAGAGGTTGGGAGCGGAGCCCTAAGAGCACAGGAAGAACATGGGGACAGGAGGGCAGAGGAGAGGAAGAAGACAGTGTCAGAGCAAAGAGCTCCTTGGAATCCAGAAAGATGCCTTTCTCAGGGGCATCAAGGCCCCCGATACTATCGGCACCCACCACACAGGTTAACAAGCAGAGAATGACCAACTCAAGGGGGTAGAAGAGGGGTGGGGGTAGGGTGGGGGGAGAGACAGATGCAGGTCGAGAAAGAGGCCTGCCAAACCTTATAATCGTCGAAGTTGAACATGTCAGCCCACCAGGCCCTCATCCGGGGATTGGTGAAGTCGGGGTAACCAGCGGCGCCTAGAAATTAAGGGTGGCTGTTAACCCCAAGGGCCATAACGTCACCATTCTACCTCCTTGGGCTCCTGGCAGCCTCTCCCTCGATCCTGGGGCTGCGTCCTTACCTGGCCAGCACCAGCCCTCGTAGTCGGAGCCATCCCGCGTTTTGACATACAGACCCTGGCTCTGCAGCTCTTCGTGCACGCGGTAGCCGGAGTCCACCTTGATGTGGGGATCCACGATGGCCACCAGCTGGGAGCAAAGGACACGGCGGTCAGCGCTCTCCGGGCTGTGTCAGACGCCCAGCCATGGCCGTGGTCCTCTTACCTTCCGCCTCTTGGCTGCCAGCTTCTCCAGCATGGCGAGGGGCTGGGGGAAGTGGCTGGGGTCCCAGGTGAAGTACCGCTTGCCGTCCGCGTGCTCGATGTCCAGCCAGATGACGTCGCAGGGCAGGTCGTGGTCATCGAAGCCCTGGTTGACCGCCAGCACGTCGGCCTCGTCCCGGTAGTTCCAGCGGCTCTGGTGGTAGCCGAGGGAGAAGAGCGGGGGCAAGGCCTGGGTCCCTGCAGGTTCAGCGAGGGACGGGGGTCACAATGGAACCAGCCAGCCTGGGGCTTCTGGGGACCGGAAATGGAGGGAGGCTTGTACACCAAAGGGGGACTGCAGGGCACAGGGCTTCTGAAGAGCCACTCCTCTCCGAAGACCAAGGCCGCAGCTGCCTCTGCGTACCGGTGAGACTGGCGTACTGCCGGAAGACATCCGAGACGGAGGGCCCCAGCAGCAGGAAGACATCGATGATGCCGCTCTCCGACATCCAGCGGACATCTGTCTGCGGGGTTTCCCCGGAGCCCTGCAGGTAGTCTAGCATCTTTCCAAACAGGGTCTGGAGAGGGGACCAGAGAGAAGTTTCCCAACTGCAGACACAGCAGCAATGTTTTCCTCCAAGCCCTCACGCCGCTGGCTCCTAAGCAGTCCACTGAGCTGAGACTAATTGTCCCTCCCAGTGAGGCTTTCCCAGGGCACCACCTGGGGCGCTGCTGCCCCACGCCCACCCCGTGACTGCTGCTCGTCTTCCTCACGTCTGCTGTCTCTGTGTCTGTAACAGCGCGTCCGCCCTGAGCGGAGGCCCTTTCCTACCTCAGTGAGCAGTGCTGCCCCAGCACCCGCCCATAACGTATTGACAAGAAACGCGTGAGTGTGCCTTCTGCAAGTGGCAGGCATTCCCAGCTGCTCCCAAGGCCCAGGTCCCCTCTCCCACCCAACCCCAGATGGGCTGCCCCACCAGCCTCTTCCAAGCTCATGCCAGCACACTGGCTCTAGGCCTGACCGCGCCCTCCTCCCTGCCCCCGTGCGCGCTCACCTTCCCGGCCGTGTTGGAGGTTATGTCCACCCACGTCTCCGCGGCGTTGAGCCAGAAGATGCCCAGGTCGCGATGAGGACTGTGTGCCAGGAGCACAGGCACAGACCCGTACAGGGCCATGGGGTTGTACAGCTCGTACTGGAACACATCCAAATTGTAGAGGCGATATGGCTCCCCACCCCTGCAGGCAGACAGACAGACTGGCCCCAGGCCCTGGCACACACAGCCCCCACCCATCCCACAGACACGGTCAGGGGTAAGACACGGCCCCTGCCCTTTATCAAAGAAGAACCTTCCAGTGATAAAGGTGATCTGGGCACAGGGAATGACCCATGCCTGACTGGCGTATCCAATCCGCATGCAAACTGTCCACCTTCCCACTCCTGTGCCCACATCCTGAGGCCAGCTTGGACTCACTCAGTGACCTTCAGCCTCAGGCTGTCTGCATGCTCAGGGATCCCATACACATGCTCCATGCCCGGCAGTGAGAAGTCCAAGCCCACAGACGTGGGGCCTGGAAGAAAAGCAAAGGGGGCGCTCAGGGCTGCTGCCCCGTGAGGATGCCCATGGCCCTGCCCAGGCGCTCTGCCCCTCACCGTAAGGCTTGCTGTCGGAGTGCGTTTTGAACGTCTCCTCCCAGGCTCCCGGCTCCTCTTTCTCTGTGCTTCCCGGGGTCTCCTCTGGCTGTGAGGGGGAAAGCAGGCCACTGCCATCACAGCGGCTCTCTCCTCCCCGCCCACTTCCTCAGTCCCGTCCCTGACAGCAAGCATGGGCTATCATGTGGGCCTTTCCCCTCCGACCTCCCAGCCAGCCCTGTGCGCCAACCACTCAGCCCCACACACTTGCCTTGTCCCCATCCCCAGGGGCTCCCTCGGGCTGGGCGCCATCACCCTCAGCGGGGTCTTTCGATTCTGGCCTGGAAGGTAGGAGAGCTGTCTGCTCCAATCCAGAGGGGGCAGGGACGAGGGGCTAGTGGAAGGAGGGGTGAGGGAGTAGAGAGCCAAGGGTCCAAAGGAACGAAGGCATTGGAGGAGGGACTGAATGGTTAGGCTCGGAGAGGGACCCCAGTGAACACATGTGTCCACAGGACACGGAGAGCAATGAGGGGTAAAGGCCACAGGAGGTGTGCCCGGAGGCCCAATGGCCTGGGTCGGAGTGCCAGTCCTGGCTCTGCTGCCTCCTGGGAAATTCTGGCCCCAAATGCCCTTGCTGGGCCTCAGCCTGCTGGCCTGGCACAGGGTTTTGCAAAGGCCAGTGGGTCACACCGTGACCAAGCCTCTACGGATACAAGCGGGGACTCACACAGAGGTGTGCCAAAGACTGCTGGCGAGGGCAGCTGGCAAGCAGCTCTGCTCAGAGCCTAGTGAGCCCCCTCTGGGCGCCAGGAACCCCAGCAACAGGCAGCATCTCTCCAGCCCTTGGCAAAGCAAGAAGCGCCCTACATTCCTTAGGAGCTTCCAATATTTCATCTTCCTCCTCCCAGTCAGGAGAACTGGGACCAGGGACCACATAGCTGGAGAGAAAGAGGTGAGTGAAGGGCAGGGCACGGAAGGGTGTGGGGCACCTTCCCCTGGGGGTGAGCGTGAAGGGTGGGTGAAGGCAGAGGAACACATACAATACCAATGGCCATGGATTTACCTAGAGAAAATGTTCTTGATCTTATCCCAAACGCTACCGAGCGTGACACTAACTTTATCCGAGAAACTAGGGTGGGAGGAGATGGGTAGGGAAGGGAAAAAGGAGGCACAAAACCAACACAAAAACAGAAACATAAAAGTGAGTTTCAGTTGACAAACTTCCAGACGGGGCGAGGGGGAGAGGAAGAAAATAAATCTGGGAAATGGGATGGCATGAGAAGGGAAAAGGGAAAGGCAGACCCAGGCAGGCCTCTCAGAGGAGGGGCCTGAGGTGCAGCTCAGGCACAAAGTGACTGCCTCCTAGTCTTCAGAGGAAGTGAAGAAAACTGACCTGGCCTGCTTCCTAGCCTCTCTGACAGACACTTCCCCCAGCCCTCTGCCCCTACCTGACTGTCCTACCACCCTGTCTTCCCCAGGGACCTAGGGCCAGACCCCATAACACCCTTGGGCCCTTTCAGCTAGGTGGCCTTCAGTCCCCACCCGGTACTCACGAGACCCGGGGGGCCCTCTGGTGCTCAAAGCCCAGGAGTCCGCGGGCGTTGACGCTGAGCAGAAGGCTGCGGTCCTCCAGCAGGTCCAGGCGGAAGGGCCGTGCAGTCAGGATGATTTTATAGGGCCCCTCAGCCACGGTCAGCTCCACACTGTTGTCGTCTCGGCCAGAGACAGAAAGCCTGGAAAGATCATCAAAGGGGATATGAACAAGGACAAGGGACCAAGACTGGAGCTGCGGCACCTCAGAAGAAGGGGGCGGCGGGACCAACGTGGATCAGGGCGCACCCCGCGCTGCCGGTGGAAGTGTAGCCGGTAAGCCTTTGGGAGCTAGCTATCTTAGAGAGCTGGTCATCTCCACGTCCCACAGCTTTGCAGCTCCCTCCTAGCTGTGACTGAAGAGAAACTATCCAGGGACCCAGGAGATCCGGACAACAATGTTCATGCAATAGAATGTTCAACACAAAGATGATAGATAAGCTGGGATAGAATCATAAAACATAATCAGCAGGAAAAAAATGAACTACATGCAACAGAGTTAAATGAAGTTATGTGGGCCCCAGCTGGTTTGGCTCAGTGGATGGAGCATCGGCCCGCAGACCGAAGGGTCCCAGGTTCGATTCTGATCAAGGGCACATGCCCAGGTTGTGGGCTTGATCCCCAGTAAGGAGGGATGCAGGAGGCAGCCAATCAATGATTCTCTTTCATCATTGATGTTTCTCTCTCTCCCTCTCCCTTTCTCTCTGAAATAAAAATATATTTTAAAATAAATAAAGTTATGTGAAAAGAGGAAATTCTAGAAGACATTCATTGAGATGAACGTCCTTATGAAGCTCAGAAATGAACAAAACCATGTAACTTATTGCTTAGGCACAGACACGTAATGTATTTATGTGCTTATGTGCATACATGACACACTGCAAGAACACAAAGCCACAGGACTGAGCGACTTCAGAATCACAATGTAACGAGGAGCCAGGGGTACGGGACAAAGAGAGGCATATGGGTGGGCTGGGTGAAGGATTTGCTAGCTTCTAAGTCAAACATTTAAGCCCGGCAGGTGTGTCTCAGTGGGTGAGCGCTGACCTATGAACCAGGAGGTTATGGTTTGATTCCCAGTCAGAGCACATGTTCAGGTTTCGGGCTCAATCCCCAGCGGGGGCCGAGAAGGAGGAAGCTGATTGATGATTCTCTCTCATCATTGATATTTCTCTCTCTCTCACCCTTTCCCTTCCTCTCTGAAATAAATAAGATGTGTGTGTGTGTGTGTGTGTGTGTGTATTTTTTTCTTTTAAGTGAAAGAGAAAATAAGTGAAACAAAAAGAGACAGGGAAGGTTGAGGAGTGTGGCAAGATGCTCGCCAGCTATCATCCCAATGTACTGCCAAGTGACATTTCTCAGGAAGGAGAAAAGGGCCCTGAGGATGGACAGGTTTTCTGAAAGGTTTACCGAGCTGTGGGGGGATCAGCCACCAGCACATCCGGCACCCGGTATCGAGGCCGCCGGGGCTCCAGTTCATCGATCCTGATCCGCGTCATGTTCTTTTGCAGCCCCTGGAGCTCCAGCACCAGCAACACCTGGGGAAAGTGGAGGGTACACCAGGGAATGACCTCTGAACCCACTTCCTCCTAAGGGGTCTCCCGCTTCTAGACCCTTTCACAAAGTGAAAGTCCCAAGATGGCTGGGACAGGATGCTGGCTGTAGGTCCTCCTTCCCGGATCCCCTCTTAGCCATTTCCCAACCCCCACCAGAGTTCCTTTCCCCCCCTGACCTTGGTGACCTCGTTGATCAGATGGACTGTGAGGCCATCAGGACCAAGCTGCAGAGAATCCAACAAGGCTCGGTATGGAGAGTGGCCTGGCTGTATGTTTCGCTGTCGCCTGTCAAGCAGAATGGTTAAGAAGGTGGGAGGGTACCCCAATGTCTATAAGCTCCCCATCACCTGCAGTGTCCCCAGGCTGCCCCATCTGCCACAGATACCACCTGTACTACCCAACCTCCCCGTCCCCTAGAATATCATACTTGCAGAAGGAACTTTCTTCACAGGTCTTGAAGTTGCTTCTATCCACGGCAAGGGTGAGTCCCAGGCAGACCCCTAGACAAGCCAGGACCAAACCGGTCCCAGACCTAAGGAGAAAAATGACAAAAGAGGGAACAATCAGTCTGGGCTCAGAAAGGGCCTCACTTGCAGGGATAAAAGCCACAGTCCTAGAAGACAGCTCAGAAAAGAGGGGAAAAGATGGGCATGAGGTTAAGTTGTCAGGCTGAGGAGTTAGCTCATTCACACCTTCCTTTAAAAAGGCAAAGAGCTAAGCAAATAAAATAAATAAATAAATAAATAAATAAATAAATAAATAAATAAAAAGGCAGAGAGCCTGGCTCAGTGGTGGCTCTGAGCATCAACCTATAAACCAGGAGGTCACAATTCGATTACCGGTCAGGGCATATGTCCAGGTTGTAGGCTCAATCCCTGATTGTGCAAGAGGCAGCCAATCAATGATTCCCATCATTGATGTTTCTCTCTCTCTCCCTCACTCTCTCTCTCTCTCCCTTCCTCTGAAATCAATTTAAAAAAATTTAAATGCAGAAAATAAACAATTCAATGGTTTTTAGTAACAAACAAACAAAAGGCAAAGGAAGTGGACCAAGGCTCTTTGGCCTTCAGAGGCCTTGGTACTGACTGGGTTACATCAGCCTCGGAGCAGGGGCAGGCACAGCTGCCCCAGGGGAAGTGGTGGCACCTGTGTGTGGGAGAGGGAAACAAAGCAAGTCCTGCCTTTCCAAGGGAAGGCACTGGGTGGGGCAACAGAGAAATCGTGAAAGGTGCCTCAGCCAGCCTGTTCCTCCTAGCACCTCCAATCTCCACTCCTTTATCTTCGAAGTCACCACTAGCACCACCCACGTCTGGAAAGAACAGTGATAGCGAACTTGTATTGAATCTTCCTGGACCCCAGCAACCTGGCCAACTGCTTTCTCTCCCTGACTTGCAACTCTGCCTGCAGTTTTTTAAAATGTCAAGTGTTTCTTCCCTGGCGGGTAGCACAGTAGGTTAGAGCGTCCCAATAAGCAAACGTTTCGGGTTTAATACCCTCACCAGCGCACGGACAAGAATCAACCAAATGGATTAGCATAATCAATGGACACAGACACTGGGGTGGTGGGGGCTTGCCCTCAGGGCGAGGGTGGGGGGTCAGTTGGGAAAAAAGGAGATATGTACTACTTTAAGCAAAAAAAAAGAATTAACCAAATGAATGCATGAATAAGTGGACCAACAAACCTGTTCCCTCCCCCACCCCTTTCTCAAATCAATTATAAATAAATAAATAAATAAAGCCTGGGTCTCACCCACAGTGATTCTGAACTAACTGGTTTGAAGAGGGGCCTGGGCATCAGAATTCTGTAAAAGCTCCCTAAGCAACTCCTTGGCGTCAGGGTTCAGATCCTTCTTTATCCACACTCCCTCCCTCCCTGCTGCTGTCCTCTTGGGGACTATAGGAGTGAGACTTTTCCCAGACGGGAAAATTGAGGCATGAAAGGTTCAATCATCCATCCAAGACCGAACAGCCAGTAAGGGGTGAAATGGGATTGCACGCATCTCTGCCTGACTCCAGGCCAACGTGCTCCATGACGCGCAGCACAGCACACGAACCTCCAGCAGGGCCTGCCCGTGAGGACCATCGCCCCAAGGCCACCACAAACTACCCCTTCCCCACTGTAATACCGCAGGGCAGACGAGGGATTTAACCAGCTTATTTAACGAGTTCCTTTGAAGACTATAGTCACCCTACAGTTCTGGGTACATCCTGAATAGGGGTTCTCAACTATAGTGCCTTGCTTATGGAAGGAAGATCCTCAGGGCCCCGGGAGTCTGCGGCTTAAACATGCTCTCCCTGTGATGGGGGAAGTACAAATCGGGGAGAAAACCCAAAAACACAGGCTTCTCCTAAGCATGACAACTCTGCAACCTGCTCACGGGGAAACTGGAGTAGGGCCTGTCCACACACTGTACCCAGCACCAGCCTCAGTGTCTGCCTGAAAGCTCAGGGAACGAAAACCAGCAGGAAGGAGGTCACGGAACCCAGCAGGCCCTCCAGCGCCAGAAGCCAGGCCAGACGGGAAGTGGAGGCAAACACCAGGCGCTGTGGTTGAATATGCCAAGAGGAACAAGCAGGAGCAACCACGCAGAAATGCCACTAGACCCACCACTCAACAGCCAGGCTTTTGGCCCAGGTCCGGAGGGACGGCACCAGCCACCCTGGCCACGGCACCCACGTCCGCCTGCCTGGCGCAGCGGGAACCCACAGGAGAGTGGGCCCAAGACCCTCTGGCGTCCTCTGCGCACAGCCTGTGAAATGGGCCTGGCCAGGTGCCAATGGGGACAGGCTTCCTAAAAGATGGCTCCAATGGGACGTGTCGGGGTGCCCTGAACGCCCCAGACCCAGGGGTGGCCCAAAGGCCGAAATGAGGAGTGAGCAGCGGGGCAGGTGGCACCCGTGGGCTGTTTCGGATCAGACTTCCAGAGAGTTGTGTGGATGACCCACGCTTTCCTCAGCCGCTCAGTACACGCCTCTCCCACCCCAGCACATCCGTTAGGTCCCAGTAAAGGCTTTGTGGAGCCGGTGATTCTTTCGAACCGCTTTTTTTTTTTCTTTTTCTTTTTTTCTTTCTGGTAACATACATTCGAGAGCGCAGACCAAACCCTTCGATTACATGTGGTGTTTGAGCAACATCATCCAGGCGGACTGTGAACTCGCGGGATCCTGCCCCAGCTGTGCCCGGTGAGCGTGGACACCTGACCCGCCGCGCCAGTGCCCACGTGGAGACCAGACGGGGCCGGGCAGGGGCTCTGCCGGCGGGGCGGGCACGAAGGGGGCGCAGGCCGGACTGCCGGCTGCAAGCGGAGTTCCCGGAGGCCCGGCCACGTCTCGTCCCCGCCCTGATGGCCCGAGCCCTGCACGGAGGCGGCAGCGTCCATCGCGGGGAGCCGCCAGGGAAGGGAGGCGGCGGCGAACGGCCAGAGCCGACAAGGGCGCACGGCTGCGGCCTTTCTGAGCCGCAGGAGCAAGGACCACAAGGACGGGCCCCCAACGCCGTGCGGGTCTGCCGCGAGGAAGCGGGGGGCGCTTGAAGCAGCCTCCAGAGACAGGACGCCCTTGCGGCGCCAGGGGTGGCAGGGTCTCGGGAAGACAATCAGGAAGAAGAGATATGGGGCTTGGGGGGTGTGGGGGCGTCCCGGGCGCGCCCCGGGTTCCGGACTCCTCACCGCCTCCTACGCGTAGCCACTGCCGCTACCGCCGCCATCTTGTGCCGGGTTTGCTCCTTGACCCCGAGCCTCCCCTCCCTCTGCGCGCGCGGAGCCACGTTCCTCAGCGCCCGCCCCTTCCGGCCTCAGGATTGGCCCGGCTGCGGGCGGCCGCGCCATTGGCGGACTCGCACTCTAAACGCTCACGGGTGGGCGGGGCTCCGGGAAGGGGCGGGGCTCCAGGCCGGAGGCGGGATTGTCTGGCGCCTGCACTGTCCTATTCTGCCGGCTCTAAGCATCACGGAGGCACTGCACTGTTTGTCTCAAATCGGCAAATTTTATTTAGAAAAAAAGGAAGGGGGGAAAAGTGACAGCGCTCTCTACGCTGAGGTCTCAGAAGAGAGACCTCCCTCTTTCTGCAGCACCTTAGCCCCGTCTCACTGCTCATAGAGCCTGCCGGAGTAGCGTGGACGGAGCAGCTGCCTGGAAACGGCCAGAGAAAAGGCCCAGGCGGTCAATGTTGCGGTGGAGGACACTATGCAGCACGGCCAGATGGGGTCCACCCTCCCCCCCACCCTCCCTGGAGAAGTCCCGGATGAAGCGTCCACGCTCTGACTGAAAGATAAACTTCTGGGGCAAGGGCCCATGCTCGCGGAGAAAGCCCCAGACACTGAGCAGTAGCAGACGCACTTCGAAAGGTGCCAGTTGGCTAAATACCTCGTGCATGTTACCCAGGGCTGGTGGCAAGAGGCTCCCCTCAGCCATGACAGCCACCAGGGTGCAGGATGCCTCCAGGTGCCAGGGGGAGTGGGCTGTATCAGGGTGGCGAGAGGCTTCCCAGTGGCCCAAGAGGGCGGCCAGCAGCCCCCGCAGGAGCACGGAGCAGTAGCAGAGCGCTGGGGGAGCAGCTGCCACCAGCTTTAAGAGCTCAAAGAGCAGGGGCTGTTCCCGGAAGCGCCGGCCAATGCGGAGATCCCGCTCCACGGTGGCCCGCGCGAGCTCCTCAGGCGGCCAGGCGAGCTCGGCACCAGCCGCATCAGGACACACGCTCTCCACCAAGGTCACTGCCACCGCTTTGGCAGCCTCTGGGCTCAGCGTGGGAGCCCCCCAGCAGCCCCGACCTTCACTGCCCCCAGGGGCACTGCAACAGTGCACCAGGAGGCTGAGAAGGCTCTGGGTGTTATAAATCACTTCCTGGTGGTTTCGTGACTGAGCAAACTTCGGTGGCTTTAGGCCACGGCCGATGACTCCAGCATGGAAAACTGACCAAATCCCTCCGGGGCCGGGCACGGCTGCCGTGTGCCGCCGGTTTGTGTCCAACAGGGAGGCAGACGCCAAAGAAGCTGAAACCACGGAAACAGTCTCGTTGTCCTCATCCACTTCCCCTCCAAACAGCTCCGTGTTGCCCCGATGTAAGGCTCCTTCCACCAGCAGCTGCAGGACAGCCTTAAGCCCTGCAGGGGAGGTCTGAGAGAGTCGGGTTAGAAGCTGGGAGGCCGAAGCCACACCTGGGGGGCCATGCAGCCTCAGAGAGGCAAAAAAACGATGCACCCCAGCTCTCACCAGTCCCAGGAGCTGGGAGGGGGCCAGGGCTTCTGGAGGAAAGGGACAAATGGCCAGGAGGGAGGCAGCAGCTTCCGCTACATCCTCCTCAGGATGCAGCAGGAGAGGAGCCAGGTCGGAGAGATGGGCGGAGGCGGACTCCCCAAACCGGGCTCCCAGGGCGGCAGGGCCCTCACCGCCCTGCTGCTCCCACCCCACCAGCAGCGCCAAGTTGCGCAGGAACCGCGCCGTGAAGGGAGGCTGCAAAGTCCCTGCGTGCACCCGAGCCAAGCAGCTTCGGAAGGCCAGCGGCAGGAGGCCCGAGAGGCTGACCACCAGCCCCGCGTACAGCTGGGTGGCCAAACTCAACTCTTCAGGGCTTCGGGCCCGGCTCAGGAGATGGCCCAAGGCCTCCGGTCCACAGCTAGGCCGAGTGTACACAGAGAGCAGGCCCAGGAGCTGGTGCTGCCAGAGGAAACGCTTCCGTTCCAATCGCAATGTCTCTCCACACAGCTCTCCGACATGGTTTCTTAGCGCATCCAGAAAGGGCACAGGGCGGGGGGGCGGGGGCGGGCCCAGCACCCCTTCCCCAGGGGGCCCTCCCCGGTGATGAACCAGTTTTTGCAGATGTAGCAGCAGCAGCTGAATCAGCCGGTCACAAGCCTCGCGCACCGTATCTGGCACAGCCAGGCCCTGGGTGGTAATGACTGAGGCGGGCATGGCCGTGTCCACCAGGAACTGCAACAGGCGGTAGGCACCTGCCCCCGAGGCCTGGCTCACCAGGTGCACAGCCAGGTTGAGCATGTTGTCCAGCTCCTCTCGGGGGAAGCCCTGCAGGTGTTGCTGAAGCTGACTCAGCACAGCTGGGGGCTTAAGGCAATCCACAAGCTCTCCAGAGACGGTGCCCAGCAGAGCTGGTGACATGACTGCCAGTTGCAGAAGGAAGGGAACTGTGGCCTGAAGGGAGGGGTCCCCACTCCGGCCCCCAATACCCGCTGCCAGGCTATCATGGAACATTCGCAGAAGCTCCCGTCGGATGCTGTCTCCATGGCGGGAGGCCAGGTGCCCTAGGATGCCCACAACTGAGGCGATCTTGGGTACCCGCTTCTCCCCGGGGATAGCAGGAGATCCAGGGAAGGGGTCTGTAGAGGGCATTTGAGAAGAGCCTCCACCAGCGCCGCCAGCTCCACCTCCAGCCCCACCATGAACGCAGAAGTCCTTCAGGCCACAGGAAAGAACACGGGAGATGATGGTGCCAGGAAAAGAGGAGCCAATATGGGCCACCACCCAGTCAAAGTGTGGGGAATGCTGGACAGAAGTATCCAGCAAGGCATCCACGCAGGCATCAGGGCAGCTACCAATAAGAGCCGAGAGGCACTGAACGTAGATGTCCATGAGCGTGCGTGTGGCCCGACAGCCCATCCACAGCTGCAGCAATTCGTTGAGAGAGCCGGCGGCATGGGGCACACACTGGTGTTGGCCCGAGTATGCGCTGCTTAGTTGCCCCATGAGGTCAATGGACCATGCACTGATCACAGGTGCCCAGGCCTTCGGGTTGGCCCGGATAAACTCGGACAGCACCTGCTGTACCTCCTGAACCACATCCTCTAGACCAGGGCCCCCCGCGGGAACATGAGAGGGGGCAGGCGGGCGGAGGTGAGGTGGGCCAGCCAGAGGGCTTTCGTCCAGAGCAGCCAGGTGGGCCCGGACACTTTCATCAAAGACGCCTCGCAAGTGGTCAAGCACGGCAGCCCGGGCAGGTGGCAACGAGCGGAGCAGAAGGAGACCACAGCGAGCGTGCTCCCGGGCCGAGAGCTGGTGGCCCAGAATGGGGTCGACACCAGTCAGAAAAGCCTTGATTTCCTGGGACAGCTCCTGAGCACTGTAAGGAGACAAGAGACAGACTTAGTGTGTTGGAGATGATGGGCAAGATACATTCCCTCTGTGAGCTTGCTTTTTTTGTGTAAAACAGGGATCACTATAACTCCCTCAGAGATAATGTTCATAAAGCACGGTATCTATTTCACACTAACCACTCAGTAAACATTAGCTATTTTCCTTTCAATAATACCAATATTGTGTTAGGTACTTTTTTAAAGTACTTTACCTGTATTATTTCAATCCAGACAAGAGCCCAATAAGGTAGGTATTATTATGATCCCATTTTACAGATAAGGAAACCAAGGTTAAGTGATCAGATTATAAGCTTCAAGAGGGTAGTAGCCATTTCTGTGCTCTTCAATACTAAATCTCCTTCAATGGAGGCGCCTGGTACATCGGAAGTACTCAATAAATTGTTCAACTGAGTATATTTAAAAACACATTTCCAATTTTACTGCATTTTCCACAACACAAGCACCCTGGATTTTACTCTTAATGGAAAGAAAATCTCCCTCCCAATAACGGTTTCTTTCCATATTCCGCGAACATCCTAACCCACCCACCACTTGGATTCCACACACACAACCACCACTTCTCCCAGCACCCTCCGGGTGCCTAGGAACCAAGGTGTTCCATGGCACAGACAAAACACCTTTCAACCCTCCCCCTCCCAAAGCATTATGGGTTCAGTCTCAGAGGTTCAGCGCTGAGACAACCCTTCCTCTTACTGCCCTTTTTGCCAAAGAAGACTGCATCCCCTAGGGTTCCGACTGTGCCATTCCTCTCTGGATCCTCAAAAAAACAAAACAAAACACAAAAAACCCACCCGGATAGGAGTGTTTCCGTGGGAAGGGAATGGCTAGAAATATACAAAGCATTCTCCGAATTTCTGGGCCTGGGCTCTCAGGGAGCCCATGAAGTCAGGGGACCCTGGGCTTCTCTCCCCCGGGCTAAAAGGGGCAGGGCAGCTGGATTCCCAAGAGTTCTGATGTCCCCGACTCTTGGGAGAGGAAGGCCGGGGTCCGGAGCACCAAGGCACTGGGTTTGGAGGGAGGCAGCACCAAGACCTTGGACGTGCGGGCACTCCTGGAGCCCAGAGTTTGGGCGAGGCAGTCCCCGAGCTCTGGGGAGACCCGACCAGGAATCTCGGAGAACCCTGACGCCAGTCCCGCGGCGGGATCCGGGTTTCTGCCAAGGAGGCTGGGGAGTCGGCGCGGGGCCGCGCGGTGGGGGGAGATGCCAGAGGCGCTGACTACCTGAGCGGCGCGGGACCGTGGGTGGCCGGGGGAGGCCCCGGAGGCCCCGGGGCCCCGGGAGGGTCGCACAACGCGGACATCCCGGAGCCCGAGCCCGAGCCGGAGGCGGGAGCGGCGGAGCGCAGCAGCGCATGCGCGCTGGTGCGAGACCTGAAAAGGAACGAGCAGCGACGGGGCCCCTCCAGGAAACCCATCCGGCGACTCCCGCGGCCCCGCGCACGTTGGTTCCGCCCCGCGCCGAGGGCCGGGCCGGGAGAGCCGACCCGCCCGCTGTCCGTGCAACCTTTTTCTTTTTCAAAGGGCCATGGATACACAGACGATTCCATTTTTCCCCCCTAAAGCCCCAAATACAAAGTGTTCACTTCACGAAGTTTCTAAAAAAAAAAAAAAGAAGAAGAAGCACTGGGAAACATTTTATTCAAGAAACAGTGACCATGAAAAAGTAAAGGAGAGAAGGGAAGAGGGAAAGCGGGAAAGAGACGGAAAGAAATAAGAGAAAATGTGTAAGAGAAGAAAAAGAGAGGAGGGAGAAGAAGCCCGAAATAAATTGGGCGTCTTCCCAGCCGCAGCGGCCCTGCAGGCCTATCGGTCTCCATCGCTGAGGCTGTGCTGGGTCCTGCCCGCACCCCCCGCCCCTGCAGAGTCAGCTTGGGGTGACCCTGCGGAGCCAGCACCCCTCAGTCCATCCAAACCCCAGCTATTCCCCTGACTGGTTGGGTACTGCCTTAACTTTTCCACGACTGCTCCCTCTTACGGAGATGAGGGCGCTTAACAATACAGCTAAGGCAGAGAATTGTGAACATGTAAACTAGGAAATATGGTAAGCAAGCACTTAATAAGCATTGGCTATTTTTATTATATTTATTGCACAAACTTCAGAAAATAAGCTCTTTGAAAACAGGGCCTTTCCCTTTTTAAAAAGCAAAAACAAGTCTGTTGTCTTCATCACCTGCAACAGTGTCTGCCTGGCACCTAGTAGGTTCTTTTTTCACATTATAATAGCCATCTTTATTTGTAAAAATCCACATATCAAATGTATTCTTTCAGTCTTTCCATTATTTCCTTTTAAAAAAAATATATTTTATTGATTTTTTACAGAGAGGAAGAGAGAGGGATAGAGAGCCAGAAACATCAATGAGAGAGAATCATCAATCAGCTGCCTCCTGCACACCCCTTTCTGGGGATGTGCCTGCAACCAAGGCACATGCCCTTGACCAGAATCGAACCTTGAGTCTGCAGGCCAACGCTCTATCCACTGAGCCAAACCAGTCTTGGCTCCATGATTTCCTTTTTAAAAATATATATATTTTATTGATTTTTTTTTACAGAGAGGAAGGAAGGAGAGTCAGAAACATCGATGGGAGAGAAACATTGATCAACTGCTTCCTGCACACCTCCCACTGGGGACGTGCTCACAAACAAGGTATCTATGCCCTTGACCGGAATCAAATCTGGAACCCTTCAGTCAGAAAGCCAACACTGTGCCCACTGAGCTAAATTAGTCAGGGCTATTATTTCCTTTTTACAAAAACAAAAAGGCACGTAAAAACCTTCCCCACTGTCATTCCCTCAGGCAGATGTTTGTCAGGCAGGCCTCCCTCTCCCCATATAGTTACATGCTTCATCCTGGGGCAGCCGCTTCCCCACATGCTTGGGTGCTCCCTACCAGGTGGAGTTCTGAGCTCCAACACTGAGTACACAAAGGGGTGGGGGAGGGTGCACAGTGTGGCAGGATGCTCACAAGGTGGGTACTAGTAGTAGGTCTCCTTCTCCACCCAGCCTCCAGGGCTTCGCCTGATGATGCGTTTTAGGATTTGTCATCCACGAAGATGAGAAGAGTGTGGGAAGGCACAGAACCTCCAGGTGGCTGTGAGGGGGTGCATCCTCAGGGCAGCTCCCATTCCCGGGCAGCAAGAAGGAGAGCAGCGAGGGCCGTCTCCTGGAAGAGGCCAAGTGTTAAGATCTTGTTCCTCACCCCAGCCGGGGGACGGAGCTCCTCGGGGTCCTGGATGACCACGCCGGCCCATGCACCACTACATGCTGACAAAGGCCGCGTGGCAGGCGAACGCCACGGTCTTCCTCTGCCTCTAGGCCCACTGCTGCCCATAGCTGTCCTCCCTGTCGTTGACCTCACGGGGTCACCCCAGTCCACCCAGATGCCCAGCAGGTTCATCGGGAGAAAGCTATTCTTGGCCAGAATCACAAAGTAAGTGAAGAAGCCCTCAGGGCCTGGATCATACTAATCTGCTATCACCAGCTTATCTGGAGATTTCTGGGCTGTCTCTTCATGATGTTGCTCGCAGCTTGCCCATAAGCCAGGGAGATGGCAGGAACCATGTCCGTGCCCAGGTCCATGCAGAGGATGGTGATGGTCCCTAGTGGCAGGGGAATGCTGTGGGGCAGGATGGAAGGAGGCTGCTATCTGCTGCTGCCACTTGTCTTCTCCTGCCACACTGCTCCGCCCGGACCCCCACGCAGCTCCCAGATGGTTAAATGACTGGACAGGAAAGTTGGTTCTGAGGCCTGTGTAAGTTAAAGTAATGCCAGATGGTATGTTCTGAAGATATTTTTGAAGAGATCGTATTTTAAAAGCTAAATGATTAACCTTCTTTTACTTGTTCTTAAATTTTACAAGTTCAATCACTCCCAAAGTGTATATACTACCCACTTGCAAGAACATTTCTAGGAGAGTAAATGAGACAATTTCTGCCTCAAACAGATCCAACACTTGCCCGTGGTCTCGATCCGGCATCTAGAAGGGTTCAGGAACCTGGAGAAGGTGCTGTGTGTAAATTAATTAAGAGTCCAGAGACAAAACATAATTTTGGAAGGTATTATGGGGAGTCAGAGAAGACTTAGTTAAAGGAACTAAGTTCTCCTTGTCCCAGGACCCCTTGCTTTTTATTAACACAATCTGTCCTAAGGCAAGGGGAGATATACACATCAAAGGTTAGGGTTTGTATACACAATCCAGTCATTGTCAGATGGGAAGAATTTGCCTACTGTTGTTCAGGTGTTTGGCCAGTAGGAGGCAATAACATGTAGAGTAAGATGCCCTCAGCTGTCTGGCAGCAAGCAATCATCCTTTTCAGGTTTTGGGAAATGCCCTCAGCCATCTCCAGGTGATTCAGCCCTGCTGACATGCTGGAATTGGCCTCCAGCAAACACTTGTGTCCTCTGGACTTCAATTTTTGACCTGTAAAAGGAGGCTTTGAACCAGGTAAGTCCTTCCAGCAACGAGACTATGTGGTCCTTCCCCTAATGGTTTTACATTGTGGGGGTGTGGGAAGCGGTTATAGGATTAAGCCTCAGACTGACCTGCTGGCAGCATAATTAAGCTTGATCTTGTAACTGCAATCGACTTTTTAAAAATATATATTTTATTGATTTCTTTTTACAGAGAGGGAGAGGAATAGAGAGTTAGAAACATCAGCTGCCTCCTGCACACCCCCTACTGGTGTGCAGGAAATACAGTAAACCTAGACTGGTATCAGGACCCGACTTCCTCAGCCAGGTCTACATGTATAGGTGGTCAGAAGTGGCAAGTTGGAGTGTCACTCTCTCGAGACAGGCTCCTTGATGCCTTTGCACAAGCACACCCTGTGGGTCCTGTCACAGCTGCCTTTTCCGCACTCACAGACCCCTCTCACGGCCCATCCCAGCCCTGCACTCAACCACACACATCCCAACCAGGACTATGGGCTTCACTGCAAATGGCGCTGACTGCTAAGGAGCCGCCTCTCAGGTCCTTCTTTTCCACTCTGCCTCTCAACACATCTCCCAGGCAGGTCACTAGGCCATTATGGAAGAGGAGTCTGGGGAGAGTGGGTGCAATGTTTCATCCAAATGTCTCATCCAAAGTCTTTGGGAACAGGCCCTGAGTCCGCAGCTCCGGGTGAGAATCTTGTGATGAAAGGGCTAAGGTGGGTAGTTTTAGCTCCCATGTTCAAGGTCCTCCATCTCTACATCCTGGGGGGGCTTCGTCTTCTTTTTTGGTTTGGGCTGTGGTCCACTAGTCCTGGCTGGCTTTGCAGGGGCTTCCACTGGACAGAGGGAAAGCGGCAGCATTAAAGACCCCAAGTGGAATCAGGCTGCCCCCCACCTCACCTCTGTGCCCCGCCTCACCTTCCATGGCTGACTTCTCTTTCTCCGCAAGCCGGATCTGCTGGAGGAGTTTCCTGCGCTTCTTCCCAGACAGAGTAATGTTGGCACGGGCACTGGACCTGAGGGGTTGGCAGGAACAAAGATCTGGGTTAGCCTGAACCACACAAACTGTACAAGTGGATCTAGCTATTAAAAAGGTCTTGGCTGGCTGGCATAGCTCAGTGGTTGGATATTGACCTATGAACTAGGAGGTCACGGTTCGATTCCCAGTCAGGGCACAGGCCTAGATTGCAAACTCCATCCCCAGAAGGGGGTGTGCAGGAGGCAGCCAATTAATGATTCTCTCTCATCATTGATATTTCTACCTCTCTCTCCTTCTCTGAAATCAATAAAAAAATGCTTTTTTTTAAAAGGTCTTTGTATCCACATCAAAGAACTATTTAAAAATACGGGCTCTGAGTTAGTAAGTTTAATTTCAACACATCAAGTACTTAACATTAAATGTTAAATTTTAATGCATTGTAGGAACTTTAAGGGGAAACTATTTTTCTCTATTCTAGATACTTCTAACATCAGATTGAGGGAGGGGAGGTTTTAATCCCACATCAAACAATTTTCCAGTTCTCATCAGACATTAACTAAATGTCCTACAATTTATTCTCCCCCCCTCGACAATTAAAGAAATATATTTTAATTGATTTGAGAGAGGGAAAGGGATGGGGTAACATCAATGAGAGAGAATCATTGATTGGTTGCCCCCACCCTGCATGCCCCCCCACTGGGGATCAAGCCAGCAACCTGGGCATGTGCCCTGACCCCCTGATGGGGAACTGAACTCACCAACTTCCAGTGAATGGGATGATGCTCCAACTAACTGAGCCACACTGTCCAGGGCGAATGTCCTTAAATTTAATTCAATGACATTATCTACCTGTACTTCCGACCCACCTGCTATAAAGCAGGGTTCTCATAACCCCTTTTCCAGACTCCTTAATTTGTAAGAAGAGCTCACAGGACTTACATACTGATTTATTATAAAAGGATACAACTCAGAACAGCCAGAAGGAAGAGGCAAAAGGTAAGGTATGGGTGGGGGGTGGGGGGTGGGGGGTAGGCCAGAGTCTCCAGGCCCTTTCCAGGTGAGCTACCTTCTAGGACCTCCACCAATTCACCAACCAGGAAGCTCATCAAATCTCAAGACTTTTTATAGAGTTTAATCATCATCCCTACCCTACTTCCCAAGGTGTGGGGGAGGGGAGGTTGAATTTTCCAGTCCTCTCTTCACTGCTTTTTTTTCCGGTGACCAGACCACCGTCACCGTGAGCATAAACTTAGGCGTGCTCACAGGGGCTCCTGGTGAAAAAAACGCTCCTCTCGCGCGGAAGCGTTTGGGAGCTCTGTGCCAGGAACCAGGGGCAAAGCCCACATAAACAAGTTTCTTATTACAAACTCTGCAGAGGCCGGCAATGAGGAATTCAATGAAAGAAGGCACGGCAACTCTCCTCCCAGACCAGGGAGTCCTGAAACTTCCATGCAAACCCCACACCTCCGTGAAAACGCATCGAGCTGCAGGCGCACACACACACACACACACACCCGCGTGCGCTTTAGGATTTACTTATAAATAAATAAAGGCCCAAACCCAGGAGACGCGGCCCCGCACAAACGCGGGTGCGCAGCGAAGGCAGCGGTGCCAGCGGCCCAGGAGCTCGGCCGCGGGGAAGGGCCCCGGGAAGGGCCGCGGGGAAAGGCCCCGGGGGAAGGGTCCGGGGGAAGGCCCCGGGGAGGGCCGGGCACTCACGCCCGCTTCTTGAGGTGGTGCCGCGTGGTCAGCCCCGCGTCTATCACGGCCCCGACCACCCGGTGCTTCAGGCGCCGCTCCCGACTCAGCACCCGCCGGCGCTTGAACAGCTTCTTCTTCAGCTCCTGCGGGGGAAGAAGGCGCCGCTCAGGCGGAGGCCGCGCCCCGCGCCCCGCGCCCCGGCCCCCCGGCCCCGGCGACGCGGGCCCATCGACCCTATCTCGGGGCGGTGAGAGAGAGGGCGCCCCGACATAGTCACCGTCCGCGGCCGGTTGATCTTGCCACCCGGAGCTCCCATGGCTGAGCAGCTCAGTCGGCTTCGAGTCCACGTTTCCGCCGGAAGCTGTGTCCGCATGGCCCCGCCCCCGGTCTCCAGAAAGCCAATCGCAGCTCGGGGGCGGGGCCTGGAGCTATATAAGGGAGCTCAGTGGGCCCCTCCTCCTCTCCGGGCCCTGTTGCGAGGTGAGTGTGACCTTGTCCTGGGTGCCTATGCGGCGGGCGGGGGTTCTGGGCTGGGCTCGGGACCCTCCTTTTCTTGGCGGGGTTCGGGCGTGCGGTCCCGGTCCCCGTAATGTACGGAGGCAGAGGGAGAGGGCTCCGGCCCCCTCGGCGTCATGTCTTCGGTGCCGGCGGTGTCCAGTCCGCCGGTTCTATCCTCAAGCGCCGGGACACGGATCTCCGAGGAGCGGGGCAGAACCCAAGTCCCGCGGCCCCTCCCCCGGGGTGCTCATTCCTTCTCTTCTTGTTTCAGGTCGGAAGCCGCCACGGGATCCGGAGCCGTCCTGTCCCCTCCTCTTCCACTCCCCGTTGTAACCAATAAAGGCCCAGGCCGCTCGTACCGCCTAGGTGTGTGTGTGTCCGCGTGCTTTTTCCGAGGCTGCAGGGTTAGGCTGCACCCGTTATTCAAGAGCGGATGTTGCAAATCTCCTCTTGAATCCCAGGCTTCGGCGGGGAGTTCGGGCGACCTTGCCGGCATTCCCGGATGGCCGCGCTGCGACGAGCCCTCCACGAGGCCGCCCTGGCTGCGGGGACGCGCCGCACCCTGGCGGGTAGGAAAGAAGCGCAGGGGGAGGGCAAGGTGGTTTCTCCCTGCCCGGGAGTCTAGTGTGGCTGCTAAAGGTCCCGTTGCATCGCGTCATTTTTGCAAGGGGTTTGACGGGGCTCGGGTGACACGTGCCTTCCACTCATGTCCGCAGGCTCCCTGGCCGGTAGCTGCCTGGCGGACCGCGGCCTCTGGGATAAGCTCCACGCCCAGCCCCGGCCGGGCGGAGTCCCCACCTTCGACTGGTTCTTTGGGTACGAGGACGCTCAGGGCCTCCTCCTGCCGCTGCTGCGGGGAGCCCAGGCCGCCTGCCCGCGGCGGGTGCTGGACGTGGGCTGCGGGACCTCCAGCCTGAGCGTGGGTCTCTATGCCAAGTGCCCACACCCGGTGGACGTGCTGGGGGTGGACTTCTCTCCCGTGGCCGTGGCCCATATGAACAACATCCTGGAAGGTGGCCAAGGCCAGACACTTCTGTCCCCTGGGCACCCTGCCTCCCGCCTCCGCTTCATGCAGGCTGATGCCCGGAACCTGGAGCCACTGGCTTCCGGCTCCTTCCAGCTGGTGCTGGACAAGGGCACCTGGGATGCTGTTGCCCGAGGTGGTCTGCCCGGGGCTTCCCGGCTGCTGTCCGAATGCCTGAGGGTCCTAAGCCCGCAGGGGACGCTCATTCAGTTCTCAGACGAGGACCCTGACGTGCGGCTTCCCTGCCTGGAGCAAGGGTCCCCAGGGTGGAGTGTGACGGTGCAGGAGCTAGGCCCGTTCAAGGGCATCACCTACTTTGCTTACTTGGTTCAAGGCTCTCAGTAAAGACATGGTCTTGACCCTAGAGTTTGTTGGGTGAGGAGAGACGGAGGGAGCTTTGTCTTTGCCAGATGGCTGGAGGGTTTTAGTCCCGGCTGCCATGTCGACTAACCAGGTGCACCCAGTTTTGACTGCCCATTAACTCACCAGCAAGGTATAACTGCATACATGGATAGCTGGAACCTTTAGCAGAACCAGGCCCACAGAGAAGATAATGGGTTATCCCCCAGCCCTATCTAATAGGAACTTCTAAAAGCAGCAGGAGGCAGCCAATGGTTCTCCCTTAAAGAATTCTTTATCCACATCCCAGCTTCCACTGATGTGTGACCCAGTGGCCTATCCTCTTGAGTTCATTTTTCTCACCTGCAGAAGGGAAAGAGTGAAAGGACGGGCAGAAGCCCTCACAGGCAAACCCAAGGTCCTAGGTGAAACGTTGAGAGAGAACAGCAACCTCGGCTCCTGGGCAGGAGTTGGCGGCATCCTCTGAGTGGCTTCTGCGGCCTGTTGGTCCCAAAGAGGCCTGGGATTGGGAGCTTCCTGACACTGTCCGGGGGATCCAGCAGGCATCTCGCTCTACCTGTTCTGCCCCGAGCAGAGTTCTGGATTACAGGTTCTTATGAGAGATCTGGGGTCCAGTGGGCTGCATGTCCAATCCGGGTTGGGGAGGGGAGTTAAAGAGCCCATTAGCAGTGAGATGTTACTGATACATTGAATTTTTTAAAAACTAAAATGAACTTGTGATCTGTTTTCACTTCAGGTCAAATAAATGTTTTCTTTTTACTAAAAAACATGAATTGGTGATCTTTGCTTATGAAAAAGGAAGAGCCTGATCTCACAGCCTGAGTTTCCTCATGAGGGGAAAGGATCTCCCTTGTTGGGTTCTGAAAATCATGAAGTAGAAGTGGCACAGTGCTTAACATACAGTAAATGTTTCTGTGCCGGCCGAAGCCGGTTTGGCTCAGTGGTGGAGCGTCGGTCTGCGGACTGAAGGGTCCCGGGTTCGATTCCGGTCAGGGGCAGGTATGTTGGTTGCGGGCACATCCCTGGTGGGGGGTGTGCAAGAGGCAGTTAGTCGATGTTTCTCTCTCATCGACGTTTCTAGTTCTCTATCTCTCTCCCTTCCTCTCCGTAAAAAATCAATAAAGTATATTTAAAAAAAAAAATGTCTCTGTGCCGGTATACAGGTGGGCGAGATCTGCAAGAGAAGACTTGCCAAATGGTAGCTCTCACTGGGGAGTCAGAACTAAGGGGATTTTACTATTCCCCCCCCCCCCCAGCAAACTGTAAATATTTTAAGATATTAAAAATACATCGTAAGCCCTAGCTGATTTGGCTCTGGATAGAGCGTTGGCCTGAACACTAAAGGGTCCCAGGTTTGATTCCAGTCAAGGGCACGTGCGTGGGTTGTAGGAAGCAGTCAATGACTCTCACCATTATGTTTCTTGTGCTCTCTCTGAAATCAATAAAAAAATATAAATATATATATAATTTTTAAAAAAGTATATTTTATTGATTTTTCTTACAGAGAAGAAGGGAGACGGATAGAGAGCTAGACACATCGATGAGAGAGAAATATCGACCAGCTGCCTCTTGCACACCCCCTACCGGGGATGTGCCCCCAACCAATGTACATGCCCTTGACCTGAATCGAACCTGGGAACTTTCAGTCTGCAGACCGACGCTCTACTGCTGAGCCAAACAGGTTTCGGCAATAAAAATATATATACATATATATATATATTTTTTTAAATATTTTATTGATTTTATACAGAGAGGAAGGGAGAGAGAGAGTTAGAAACATCGATGAGAGAGTCATCGATCAGCTGCCTCTTGCACACCTCCTACCGGGGATATGCCTGCAACCAAGGTACATGCCCTTGACCAGAATCGAACCCGGGACCCTTCAGTCCCCAAGCCGACGCTCTATCCATTGAGCCAAACCGGTCCGGGCTAAAAATATATTTTTAAAAAATACATATTAAGCCCAGTATGGCTCAGTGTTTTGAGTGTCGACCTATGAACCAGGAGGTCACAGTTCAATTCCTGGTCAGGGTACATATTCAGATTGCAGGCTTGATCCCCCTTGTGAGCTGTGCAGGAGGCAGCCAATGATTCTCCCTCATTGATGTTTCTCTCCCTTTCCCTCTGAAATCAATGAAAATATATTTTAAGAAAAACATCAAAAAGCATGACCCAGCTGACATCAAAACTGCTCTCTAGCAGAAACCAGTTTGGCTCAGTGGATAGAGCGGCGGCCTGCGGACTAAAAGGTCCCAGGTTCGATTCCAGTCAAGGGCATGTACCTTGGTTGAGGGCACATCCCCAGTGGGGAGTGTGCAGGCGGCAGCTGATCGAAGTTTCTCTCTCATCGATGTTTCTAGCTCTCTATCCCTCTCCCTCCCTGTAAAAAAATCAATAAATTAAAAAGTTACTGCGGGCAAGCACGGATCACGGGCCTAGCCTTCATCCCCGTCTTTCCTGCTCCAGCCCCTCCCGATCAGGAAACTTAGGAAGCAGGCAGTTGGTTGTAACAGCCGCAGCAACTGAGATGCACTGTGGCCAGGGAGCTCGGCGGGTTCGGGCGGCCTCCGATACGCCCAGGCTGCGGTTCCCATCTCGTCAGGGCGCAGACACGAAGCTACCTGTAAAAATCCTGCTCCGAACTCCCCCCACCACAGGGCCCGCGCTCCGCCCGCAGGGCCCACGCCTTCTGGGCACGCTCAGCCTCCTCGGGGCACTCCGCCTTCCCGGCCAAACCGAGATTGGAGCCTCGGGCGCTCAGGGCCGTTCTAGCCGGCCCTTTTCTATGGTGTCCGCGGGCGGTCGCTCTAGCCCGCGCAGGAGCCGGCGAGACGCGGTGCCGGCCTCTCTAGGCTGCGGGAGAGCGCGGTGGCGCCTCGCTGGTCCTGCGGTGGGCGATGGGGTTCTGGCGCAAAGCGCTCATCTCAGTCGCGGTCCTGGGCGCGTGGGCCGGCGTGGGCTCCGCGCTCTTCGTCCTCGTGACCCCGGGAGAGGAGCGGGTTCAGGCGATGCTGAAGGTGGGAGCGATAGGAAAACCGAGTGGGCTGGGTGGGCAGGCGGGGAAGCCCGCCGCGCTTGGGGCCGGAACTGCGAACCTCTCTCCCGCAGGAGATGGCAGGACAGGACTTTCGGAGCCGCGAAGAGGCGGCCAGGACCAAGCAGTTAGTGATGGCCGCTCTGCAGGAGGCAGCTGCCACGCAGGAGAATGTGACCTGGAGGAAGAACTGGCAGGTTGGCGGCGACGGCGGGAAGTCGGCGTGAGCCAGACCTGCAGCCTGGGCACCGGAGTGGGAGGCAGCCGTTCTCCTCCAGGGACCTGGCGGGGAGCCCGGGCTGCGGGAGCTGCCGCCGGGTGAGCACTTCCCCCCAAACCCTGCACTGACTGCGCGTTCCTGTCCTTCCCGCGGGCCGGCGCCATCGGATGTGGTGAACTGAAGGAACCAGTAAATCACGTTCTTTCATCCAGAAAGCGAGCCGTGAGGTGTGACGCCTGTAATGTCTCCGGTTGTGGGGTCGGTTCTGAGGGCTGGGGTGTCCGCAAACCGGTGCCCGCTTCCCATGGGAGGCCGAAGCCCAATAGACACAGCGATCACGTCTTCAAAACACAAGTCAGGTCATGTGCGTTTGAGTGTACTTTTGGGGGTAACAGAGCAACAGTCTTGAAATCAGAACTGTTCTGGAAAACCTTGTAGCGGCAGCTGCCCGAGGACGCTGGGCTTCTGTCGTGCGGTTGGAGCGAGCTCCTAGCACCGAGCATGTGCCGGGCGTCTAAGGTGGCCTTTAGCCCGAGAGCCCGTTTGCTTGGAGTGGAAGCTGTTTGAAGGCAGACAGACTTGATTCAACTCCAGCATGTCACACGTTCCCTCTGAGCCTCAATGCTGCTCTGAAAAGGTGACACTTACCTTAAGGGCGTCGTAAGAATAATTTAATCTTATTAAAGGGTAGTGCCTGGCAGAGCAGCCTCAGTAAACAGTAAGGTTTCCCCCCAAGGTTTCACTGTAGTTGTCAGTCTGAGTCCAGTATAGGATCTGCTGGAAGTGAGGCTGCAGCCCCACAGCCAAGTCTATTGCTTGGCTCCCTTTTGTCCTTCCAGGAGAAAAAAGGCTTTTTATCACATAAACTTAGCCAGAACACTAAATACAGAGGTATAAACCCAGATAGGAGCCTTGGTGTTTTCAACTGCTGGATGAAGTCATCAGCTAAATGCAAGACACGTGCGACCTTTAGTTTAATTGTGGCCCTTTCCTCGCCTGGGATTGAGGGGAAGGTGGCAGCTGTTGAGGGAACGCTAGGGTCAGCTGACCAGCGGCTGTGAGGCAGCTTCCGGTAAAGGTGCTTGGCACCTAGAGTTGGGCTCCCCAGGTGTGTGTCCAGGATCTGTAACCAGATACCTGTGTCAGCTTGGGCAAGTCATGTCCGAGTGTCCGAGTTTCTAAAATAGGATAATCGTACCTACTAGATAGTAATAGAACCTTCGTATCTCAGTTAATACTTGGAAAATACCTTCAAGGTTATTAATGTTCCTCAATGTTTAGGAATGGCCACATAAACTATCCTTTTAGTAGCTAGTAATTACTGGGGACTTATTTGGTGCCTGAGACTATGCTAAAGCACCTTTTATTGACATTATGTAATCCCTACAACAACTTTAATCTACATGTACTATTACACCTATTTCACTAAAGTAAACTAGGCTTAGAAAATCAAGGCACATGGCTAATAGGAATCCAAGCTTACGCACCACCTTACCCACAGGAGCTGTACTCTCCACCCCCAAGCATGCCCCTGCCTCAACTTGCCCAGCAACTAACCAGACCCAGAGATCAGAAATAAGTCTCTGTGGGGAATGTAGGTGAATGGCATCTGCTCTAAAAGCATTCCCTTTAGTCTTCCTCCCAGTCACTCAGAAGGAGTCCGCATAGAGAACTCAGAGGGGCTGTTTATTAGGAAAGAGATGTCAGTGCTTTATCAAAGATGAAGAGGTCAGGCCGGAGGTGGATAGAGGCCTCTCAGCTGGGACATTTCTTGGCCACAATGAGGACAGCAGAAGGCACGAGTCCTAAAGACGAAGGAGGAACACAGATTTAAACCACACCACGTTTTGTCTCCCAAACTCCTGGCCGCACACCTTCCCCTCCAAGAACCTGCTCTCGGCACCCCTTCCTTCTCAGGCATGTCCCCGCCACATCCAAGTCCTGCTTCAGGCCCCGTGTCATACCCAGGTCCTGCAGAGGCCGCTCCATGTCGGCCTCTGAGAAGGCCCTCCGGGGGAAGCCACTGAGCAGCTGCACGGGGTCCTGGTCCCCGCCGGGCTCCTCCCCGCGGTGCAGCTCCACGTAGAGCCGGACGGCTGCCAGCTGCTCCCGCGCCCGGAACGTCTGGGTCAGCGAGGTCCCGTCGGGCAGCCGGACCTGGAGGCAGGTGAGTGTCACCGGAGGGAGGGACCCCGTAAGGGAAAAGAAGAGCAGCGCGGGCTCCTCCTTCCTCTCAGCCAGAGCAGAAAGCACCTGGAGCAATCACTGCAGTTCTGATTTACTAACCAACGGAGAGCCAGACTTCTCGTTCCCTCACAACTTAAGATTCCACAAAACTACCTGGAAAAATGCCTCATCGATGAGAAATGTTAGCTCCACAAACAGCTGAAATGCCTCATAAGTGAATAAACGTTAGCTCCGCAAACAGCTGTGTGATAAGGCCAATGGAAGCATGAACAAGTGAGGAGTAATTGCTGAGTAAGAGGGAGGTATGGGTTTAAATGAGACTGGGCAAGTGAAATTGGATATCATTCCTAAGAGGAGAGAAGGTAGAATTTCAAAAGTCATTTACTAAGAAGGGAGAAGTTTGGCAAAGGAAACCTAACTGAAAAAAGCTCTGGGCCCTCGCTTGTTTGGCTCAATGGATAGAGCTTTGACCCTCTGACTGACGGGACCCGGGTTCAATTCCGGTGAGAGCATGTACCTCGGTTGCAGGCTCAATCCCTGCCCTGGTTGGGGCTCCTGCAGAAGGCAACCAATTGAGGTCTCTCACATTGATATTTCTCCCTGTCTCTCCCTCTTCACTCTCTCTCTCTAAAAAAATGGAAAAACCCTGGGGTGAGGCTTAACATACAAACAAAACTCTGGGCTAGGGGCTTTACAGGCCAGCACAGACCCAGGAGGAAGAATCAGGATGGAGAAGAATCAGGATCCGTACCTGTATGCGGCACTGGTCATATTCCCGCTTGCTGGGAGGCTCCTGGCTGGGAGAGGAGGGAACAGAGCCTGGCTGGGCGGATGCGGATGGCTGGGAACTCACGCTGCCACCGTACTGGAGGAGGAAGCAAAGCACCCATCAGGTACCCACCCGCCGGAGAAACAGCCCAGCCTTCCCTCTGAAGCAGGAGATGGGACTTATTGGCCGCCTCCACTGAACTGCCCTGTCTTCCCAATCGCCTACCTTCTTGGCTCTCTCTGCTTTGTCTCTTTCAATCTTTTCTCGGACTCTCTGCCTGGAATGCAGACAGGAAGGGAGGAGGTCAGGCACTGACAAAGCAAATATTGATTCCTTTCTCAGCTCTTACCCAACACGCCCACCTGGCTGCCAACTCTTCGGCCTTTTCCCTCCTACGCTCCTCCGCGGCCCGGCGCATCTCGTCTTCCTGGAGCCGCTGCCGGGCGGCTGACAACTCTTGCCCTTGTTTCCGGCGCTGCCGTTCGCGTTCCAAGGCCTCCCGCTCTTCCCTTTCTTCCCGCTCCCGCTGTTTCTGGGCCACCAGCTCCAACATCCTGTGTTGAAAAAAGTAAAGAGCTTAAGGAAAATGAACGCGGAGTGGAAAGGTGCGTCTATAACAAGGGACTCGGAAAACACAAATCCACAAACGAGTCCCAAAACAAAAGGGAAAGGCGGAGAAAGGACGGAATGTGGCAAGTTCGAGACATTCTGATCAGACTGGGAGAGAGAGGTGCAAGGTGACCTTCAAATGCAAGATCCTTCCTGACTATATACCTCTTAGTCTGCTCCTGTCTTTCCTCTTCACTCAAAACGAGTCTGCCTTCTTCCGCGGGGGCGCCAGGTCCTACAAACAAGCAATCGGTATTAGCCCGGCCGTCCTCCTCGGGCCCCTGCACAGTCACACAGCGCCCCTCGGTCAGGACCTTCGGGGCCACCCTGCTCGGAGGAGGTGGGTTCCTGTCCCAGGACATGTCCGACGGGGGTCTCCAGCGGCTCGTCCACATCGGGGTCGTCTTCGTGCTCCATCAGCCTGGCGGAGAAAGTGGGCAGGGAGGGAGGTCGACACTGCGGCTGCCCTCCCGGACCCCCGGCCCTGCCCCGGGGTGGGCGCTCACCAGTCCATCGCGGCCTCGATGCCCTGGTTCCCTGTGAGGGCCAGAGCCTTCTCCCTGGGGGGCAGAAACACCGTGAGAGCGCCCGCGGGCCATGGTGCCGGGCGGGCTGGGGCGCGGAGCCTGAGCCAGGCGGGGGGAAGGCCGGACACGCCCGCGACCCCCGCGGGCCGGGCTAGAGGGGCTCCCTTACGCGCGTCCCCTGGGGAAGCCCATCTCGATGAGACTCTCCAGAGCCGTCAGCTCCGCCATGACGCCGCCGACGCCGCCTTCGCGGGGACCTGGGGGGACGAGAGGGGGGTCGGGGGTCAGTGAGGGGCGCTCCAGACCCGCGGGCAAGCCCGCCCCGCACGGACGGGCCCCGGCCAGGCGTTCGCTCCCTCACCCGACTCTGGATCCGCCGCGGACACTGCCGAGAAGAAAGCGGAGGGGAAGTGGAAGTGCCCGGATCTGTTTGGGTCACGTGGGGGCGGACGTGGACGGGGGCCGCCGAGAGTCAGAAAGCACAAGCCTGAAACTTCCGCCTGGACCGCGCGGGGCGGGAGAACATCTCGCGAGAATCGCGAAGAGGCACCTAAACAAACCCCCGCGCCAGACCACGGTGGGCAAGGGGGTGCGGCCCAGACAGCCGTGGGCGGACCTGGACGGGCTCGCGATCCGGTCCCTCGGGCCTCCGGTTGGGAAGCGATTGGCACTTTTTGCGGATCCCTGGCCGCGGGCATACTCTCTGACCCGTTCGTCTCTCCGGGGAATGGAGCCGGCCTCCGCCCGACTGCCAAAGGGATCTTTGGGAAACACAGTATCTTACCCTGCCATCGCCTCCCTGCCTAAAACTCCACGACTTGCCAATCCCTTAAGACAGCGGTCTTCAGGCACTCGGTATGCCCCAGGAATTTTTAAAACAACACTACCTGACCAGTCAGGGCCACTGACCTCTTTTCCCTTAGGTTGTCAAATTAAAAAATGACAACCTCCAGTGTGAATGAATCAGAGTAATATCTTTTTTGGGGGGAGAATCAGATCTGCAAAAAACTTTTTTTTTTTTTTTTTTGTGTGTGTGTGCTGCAGAATTTTAGTAATTAGTGTATGTGTGCCATGAGATGAAAAAGGTTGGAAATCGCCGACTTAGGAGGAAACGGAGTCTGGCTTCCTCCTGTCATTCCTTTTCTGTTGGAGTCCCATCTGTAAGGCGAGGGTGACTCTGGCCCAATCTTAGGTGCATGGCGAGCCTGTATTGTGTAAATGTAAGTTCACAGTTGTCGGTTCCCACTGATTGAGGGTAATTTGTGCTTATTGCAAAACAAACCCTCTCTGCCCTCTGGGTCTTGGCACTACCAGTCCCTCTGCCTGGGACGGCCTGGCTCTTGTGGGCTTGGTCAGCTCCCGGGCAGTTCTTTGGACTGGACTCTGGGTTTGCTTTTATCTTTTATTTACTGGAATTTTTGCGAGTTTATTTGAGCCAAACTGATGACATGAAGCAAAATTTCTAATGCTCCCTGGGTTTGCTTTCTAAAGGAAGTCTGCTTTGTCCATCCCAACTCCACCTCTCAGCTCCAATAATTACCCTGTTAAGCATTTACACCCCTGCTGTGTAGTCCTTGTGGATTACTTAGCCCCACTACCCGTGAGCCACATGCGTGCAGCTTTTTGGCCTCTTGAATGTGGCTCTTCTACAAAATACCACAGCCTGGGCGAGTCTGTTTTGAAGAAGTGACCTTAGAAGAAGTTTAAGAAATGTGGCTCTCCAAAGAAATTTCCGTTGTTGTCCTGTTGATATTTGGCTCTGTTGACTAATGAGTTTGCCGACCACTGTCCTAGGCTAGTAACAGGCAGAGTAGCCAAAACCGGTTTGGCTCAGTGGATAGAGCGTCGGACTGGAGGGTCCCAGGTTTGATTCCGGTCAGGGGCACGTACATTGGTTGTGGGCACATCTCCGGCGGGGGGTGTGCAGGAGGCAGCTGGTTGATGTTTCTAGCTCTCTATCCCTCTCCCTTCCTCTCTGTGAAAAATCAATAAAAAATATATTTTTTAAAAAGAGGCAAAGTAACAAGTTGATATTGATAATATATGCACTAGAGACTTTTAGACGATTAATGCATATTTAATAATCACAACAATCCGTATGATATACAATAGGTACCATCATTAGTCACAGGAGACACAGAAAGATGAGATAATGTATCTGAGGTCACAAAGCTGGCACTACGTAGCAGAGCTGGGATTCGAAGCTTAGTGCATTTAGCAAATGCAGTGTGTGTTCACTAAGCCGCTGTGCTCTGTTCCCTCTCCATGGTGGAATCGGGAAACTTGAGCCCAAATCCTAACTCAACTCACTGCATGTAGCTTCAAACCCCTTAGAACCTAAATCTTCTCATCATAAGAAGGTGATACCATCTCTTGGAATAATGGCAAAGATCGAGAATGCATGCAAAGCATGTCTACCCTCCCCCGCTTTCTACTGAATTTATTACTAGTTAACAGAAGTATGCAGGTTTCAGCTGTGCAATTCCACAACACATCATCTGTATACTGTATTGTGTGAACATGTCTTTGATAATCAAATAGTTGGCCCTCATTATTTGCAAACCAGAGGCCCGATGCACAAAATTTGTGCTTAGGTAGGGTCTCCAGGCCTGGCCTATGATCAGGGCCAATCAGGGCCTTCCAGCTGCCAGCCTGGGCCTTCCTTCATTCTGCATCACCCCCTGGTGGTCAGCACATGTCACAGCAAGTGATCTAACAACTGGTCTCTCAGTCAAACTTCCGAGGGAACACTTTGCATATTAGCCTTTTATATATATAGATGGATAAATACTGAGATGCTGTAAGCAAAAAAGGCACTGAATAGTGATAAGTGGCCCTAGTCTGTTTGGCCCAGTGGACAGAGCGTCAGCCTGCAGACTGAAGGGTCCTAGGTTTGATTTCAGTCAAGGGCACATACCCTGGTTGCTGGAGGCCTGCAGGAGGCAGCTGATTAGTTTTTCTCATCATTGATGTTTCTCTCTTTCTCTCTCTCTCCCTTCCTCTCTGAAAGCAATAAAAATATATATTTAAAAAAAGAGTGATAAGTGTATTCTAGGTAATAACTATCTTCTAAATTTATCCTAAAGGTCCAATAATAAAAGTGATTAAGTTGTATGGCTTGCCTCTTTGACCTACTTCCAGGTAAGTACCCTACAGAATCACACACAATGTGAGGATGCACAAACAGGGCGTCGTAGCAAAAACTGGAGACAAATGCTCCAACAAAGAGCGATGACTGCTGTTGGTTACGGAGAATCCTCCGATGGGAAATTATGAATCCTTTAACGTAACTAAGGAGGCTCTGAGTTACCAACCAGGAGCACTGTCCATAAGAAACAAAGTGAAAAAGAGAAAATGCACTGGCCTGGCCAGATAGCTCATTGGTGAGAGCTTCGTCCCACTGTGCCAAGGTTGTGGGTCCCATCCTGGTCAGGGCATGTTACAGGAATCAACCAATGAATGCACAAATAAGTGGAACCTCAGGTCAATGTTTTTCTTTCTCCTGTCTTCTCTCAAGTCAGTTTTTCAAAAGCCCTGTCTGGTATGGCTGGAGTGTCCCATGCACCAAGAGGTCACCAGTTAGGATCCCGGTCAGGGCACACGCCTGGGTTGTGGGCTCAATCCCCGATAAGGGACGTGCAAGAGACAGCCGGATCAATGCTTCTTCTCCCCCTCCCTCCTCTCTCTAAAATCAATTTTTAAAAAAGTAAGTAGCTTTAAAAAAATTTAAAAAGAGAAAATAATTGTGTTACATAAAGACCTGCTCTGCTACAAGCAATAGTGTCTTTAGGAGGAGAACTTTCACTTTATACTCTCCAGTATTTCGTGAAATTTGTGTGTTACTTTGATAAATTTTTTAAAAAGTTGTAAGACCAGCCGAAACCAGTTTGGCTCAATGGATAGAATGTCGGCTTGGGGACTGAAGGGTCCCGGGTTCGATTCTGGTCAAGGGCATGTACCTTGGTTGTGGGCATATCCCCAGTAGGGGGTGTGCAAGAGGCAGCTGATCGATGACTCTCTCTCATCAATGTTTCTAACTCTCTATCTCTCTCCCTTCCTTTCTGTAAAAAATCAATAATATATATATATTTTTAAAAAGTTGTAAGACCAATATAAGTGAGGATTATACTCTTTAGCAACATACAACTTTTCTACATCCAATTCACTTAGAAATAAATGCAAAATTGTGTATACTACCCTGAAGAACCGGTGTGTGGATAGGGGGCTGGAAAGGATTATGAAGGTGAAGTGTTCTCCTTTAACGCGGTTACAAGGGGCACACAATAAAGGTGGGGGTGGCCGGGACCGGTTTGGCTCAGTGGATAGAGCCTCGGCCTGCGGACTGAAAGGTTCCGGGTTCGATTCCGGGCAAGGGCATGTATCTTGGTTGCGGGCACATCCCCAGTAGGGGGTGTGCAAGAGGCAGCTGATCGATGATTCTCTCTCATCGATGTTTCTAACTTTCTATCCCTCTCTCTTCATCTCTGTGAAAAATCAATAAAATATATTTTAAAAAAATAAAAAATTAAGTTGGGGGTGGAGGAAAGCCCTTAGTATTATTTATTATTATTATTTTTAACTGGCAAGCTCCGCCCAGACAGCAGCTTGAGCTATTTCCCCCCCCCCCCCTCCACGTGTCAGTCATTGATCTCCACCTGCCAGACCCGGTGGAGGAAGTCAGGTGTGCGCAAGCTCAGTAGCTAAACAAAAGGCAGAAGGATATGGGGTCTCCGGCCCCAAACTTGCACGCTGCAGCCGCTTATTCTCAAAGCCCCGCCGACGCCCGCCTTCGCAGCAAAGCCCTTCCCGGGGTGCGTGGCAGGGGTTGCTAAGCGACGCCAACAAGGCCAGATGTGGCTGGCTTTTCCGTGCTTACAAATGGTTGCATGGCTGCATGGGTACCTATAGAAAGTCTTCGATTTCATCCTCTGGAACCGCAAAACCGATTATTTACCGTCCGATCCTTTAAAAAAGGACCCTCTCTTCTCCTCCTCCTCTTGAGCCAGAAGAGACAGGCGGGGGCGGCAGAGCCCTGGGGGCTCAGTTGGGGCGGCGGGGGCGGGGGCGGCACTCCGCGGGGAGCCCGGGCTCCGTGCGCCCGGCGGGGGCGGCGGGGGCTCAGTGGGCCCCCGGGGCTGGCGGGGGCGGCGGGGGCTCAGTGGGCCCCCCGGGGCTGGCGGGGGCTCAGTGGGCCCCCCGGGGCTGGCGGGGGCTCAGTGGACCCCCCGGGGCTGGCGGGGGCGGCGGGGGCAGCCGCAGCGCTCCCGCAGCCAGCAGTGCCAGGCCAGGGCGCCAACGCTCAGCAGGGCCAGCGCCGCGCCCACCCCCACGGCCGCGTGCACCAGGATCCCGGGCCGCGGGGGCACGACCACCGGGCCGCACGGCCCCAGGGCAGGGCCGCCCGCGGAGCCCTCGGGGGCCGCCGCGGGCCCGGGCGCGCCGCTCTCGCCCGCCGCGTTGGCCGCCACCACGCACACGAAGTAGGCGCCCCCGGGCCGCAGCCCCCGCAGCTCGGCGCGGCGCGCGGTGGCGTCGAAGGGGCCGCTGCGCCGCGGGGGCCCGCCGCCCTCCCACAGCAGCAGCCAGTAGCGCAGCACCGGCGAGGAGGGCGCGCACCAGCGCACCTCGGCGCCGCCCGCCTCGGCCAACACGTGCACGTCCGCCAGGCGCGGCGGCAGGGGCGGCCGGTCGGGGCTGGAGAGCCCGGGGCACAGGCAGGGCGCCGGGCCCGCCTGCAGCTCTCCGCACGGGACCTGCAGGTGGCGGCAGCGGTCATAGTCGCAGAGGACGGCCGGCCGGGGGGTCCGCGGGGCCTCCTCTTCCTCCTCCTCCCCCAAGGCCCGCGGGGCCCAGGGCCGCGCCCCGGGAAGCCCGGAGCAGGCGACGGCCAGGAGCAGCCACAGGAGGCAGGGCGCGCCCGGCATGGAGCCTGGAAGGGAAGGGGTGGGTCAGGAGGCCGCCGGGCCCCCAGGCCACCCAGGCTCCCCTCCGCAAACCCCGGGGACCCGGAACACCGCTGGGGGCCCAGAGAACACGAAGGGAGGGAACGAGGCACACACACTAATTGTCACCCAAGTTCTGAACGGCCTATGTGCTTGATTTCGGGCAAAGAAATAAAACGTGATGGGACGGGAGCCAGCGGGGTGACCAGCGAGGTGGGAAGTATAGAAACAGTTAATGAGCAAGCCAAGCGCTTGGGGCGAGGAGGGGGGAATAGGAGGAAGTAGTTACTCAGCCTGGGATAAAGGTGGCCCCAACCCCAGCTTGCCGCCAGAGAAACGATCTAAGTAAAACAAGGATCAGTCAAGGTCACATGCAAGCACCAGAGCTGAGAAGGGGGAGAGAGATGGGACGGAGGGGAAAGGGAGACCCACCCCCACCTGTCATGGGAGTCCGGGGCCCTGCCTGCTCCCCACCTACCGGCTCCTGGCTCCTCCCGGCCCAGGCAGCCTCACCAGCGCGCAGGCCCCGCCAGCGGGAATCTGTGACCTCAGTGACGGCAGGCCGGGGTCTCCAGGAACAGGCGGCGCAGTCAGGTCTCCTGTCTTCGCTTTCGGTGTTTTTATACCCTCTGGCTGTGAGGTCACTGCGAGTCCCCTTCCCCTGCCCTGCTTTCCTGGGGAGTACCAAGAAGAGGGCTGGTCCCCGCAGAGGGCCTGAGTCACAGGCCGGGGGTGGGGGGAGCCACACGCGTGCTTTCGGCTGGCGGCTCGGATGCCTGGGTTCGGGAAGGGCCTGGAATGTGGAAAGCAGCCAGCAGCGGCGGAGCCAGAGGCTGAAGTCATGCCAGGGATGGACAGGGAGGGGGCCACCTGGCTGGTGTCAGAGAGGAAAACAGATGGACGGCATGTGGCCGAGGCTCCCAAATGCCGTTTCAGTAAAAATCATACCACATCCACGGCTGTCATTTCCTGTCTCCTGCCTCCCAGTGGACAGAGAGGGAGGGGAGCCGAGGCCCGAAGGATGCAGGCCAGCTCTCCAGACCCGCCCGACACCTTCCCACTCCCCAGAGGGAGAGGAGCGTCACGGGGAGGAGGGAGGAGGAGGGAGGGGGTGCGCCCTCCTCGCACTGCCAGGATCCTGGGTGAGCACGGCGGGCCGCGCCCAGCAGAGCAGGGCCGCGGTTGAACTCCATCCCGGGCGCCGGGAGATTGCCCGTGAGTGCCCGGTCAGGGCACAGACCTGGGTGGTGGGTTTGGTCCCGTCGGGCCACGGAGGGAAGGCCACCAGCTGATGTTGCTCTCTCACATTGCCGTCCCCACACCCACCCGCCCTCCTCCCCTCTCGAAGTATGTCCGGGGTGAGCAGAAACACAAAACCAACCACAAAACAGCTGTGCCTGAAACAGCCCCAGATGTGGAGGCCTTTCTCATTCTGGTCAGTGACTGTCCTGACACGCCAAGGTTCCCGCCCTGGGCCGGGCACATGCAGGAATGGACCAGGAGAATGCATGGTTAAGTGCAACAGCATATTGAAGTTTCTCTCTCCCCCCTTCCTCTTTCTCTACAAACAAAACAAACAAACAAAAACTAAAAAAGAAGAGTCAGGAAGTAGCTGGCAAGAATATCGTTTATTGGGGAGACGGCAGGCAAGGGCCAGGGTCGGGGCGAAGGGCTGGAGTGTGTGTGGGACTCTCTCAGGAGCTGGAGCAGGTGGGCTGCTGCCGCTGAGCGCCCACGGAGGGCTCGGAGCGGCCCAGCGTCTCGGGGGCGGGGGCAGGGGCAGGGGCAGGGACAGGCGCCGGCGGGTTGGCCTCGGCCAGCAGAGCTGCGTCCTCCCAGGAGCCGGAGCCTGGGCCAGGAGGAGGAACAGGACGTTAGATGACCAGGCCCAGCCGCGTGCACCCACCCCAGCGCCCCGAGCGGGCGGGTGTCCCTCACCATCGCTGGCCTCCCGTTCTAGCTCTTCCTCTCCACCAAGTGGCTGCGGCTCCAGCTCCGGCTCCGGCTCCGGCTCCGGCTCCGGCTCCAGCCTCTCCTCCTCTGCAGCCACAGGGAGAAAGCAGAGGTGAGCCCGAAGGGGGAGACGGGGAGGAGGGAGGCGGGGGGGAGGGGGTGGGGAGGAGGCGGGGGGAGGGAGGCGGGGGGCTGGGACCATACCTGTCCCGGAGGGGTCAGGGCTCTCACTCTCTCCGTCCTCTGTGTTGTCCGACAGGGGGATTGGCTCCTCTTGGCCTTGGGAGAGAGGGCAGGAAGGACAGGGTCAGGGTGGCCGCACGCTCAGTGTGACCCCAGCCTCCTCCTGGACGGAGCAGGCGGCTCACCCAGCCCCAGCCCCAGCCCCAGCCCCAGCCCCAGCCCAGCCCAGCTCTACCTTGCTGGCGGGCAGCCGCCCTCCTCTGGGCCTCATTCCGGGAGCGGCTCCTCAACCGGATGTTTGCCTGAGGGGAGAAGCTGCTCAGCAGCGGGCACTGACTGCCCCCGAGACCAGGCCCCCAGCACGCCCTGCCCACGCCCAGCCAGGGAAGGGGCGGGAAGGGGCCCGTTGCCACCTGCAGGTCGAAGGGGTTGTAGGGCCAGACGCTCCCCCACACCCACTGCAGGTAGCTGAAGAGCACGATGACGGAGAGGAAGGTGAAGTTGCTGGTGACGCCGATGAAGGCGCAGGTGATGGGGAAGTTGTACAGCAGGTACCTGCGGCGGGAGAGGGGGGAGGACCATGCGGCACCGGCCTCTCCTGTCGCAGCCTCAGCTCTGGGCACACAGGCCGGCCAGCGGAGAGCCCCTCGGGTTCAGGGGGTCGGTGGGTGGCCCAGGCATCGGCATTTTTAAAAGTTCCCAGGGAACAAACAAAGCAAACACGCTGCTGAGCACCGGAGGCCGGCGGGGAGGGTGGACGGGGCAGGGGAACAGCTGTGGGGAGGGCGGACGCACGCTGGTGGTGAGCTGCTGCGGACATGGCTGCTGAATTACATGTTGTGCACTTGAAACGTTAGGCACCAACAGCACCTCAAAACCCCCAACCCCCAACAGCACCTCAAACCCCCAACCCCCAACAGCACCTCAAAACCCCCAACCCCCAACAGCACCCCAAACCCCCAACCCCCAACAGCACCTCAAAACCCCCAACCCCCAACAGCACCCCAAACCCCCAACCCCCAACAGCACCTCAAAACCCCCAACAGCACCTCAAACCCCCAACCCCCAACAGCACCCCAAACCCCCAACCCCCAACAGCACCCCAAACCCCCAACCCCCAACAGCACCCCAAACCCCCAACCCCAACAGCACCCCAAACCCCCAACCCCCAACAGCACCTCAAAAGCCCCAACCCCCAACAGCACCTCAAAACCCCCAACTCCCAACAGCACCTCAAAACCCCCAACCCCCAACAGCACCTCAAAACCCCCAACTCCCAACAGCACCTCAAAACCCCCAACCCCCAACAGCACCTCAAAACCCCCAACCCCCAACAGCACCCCAAACCCCCAACCCCCAACAGCACCTTAAAACCCCCAACCCCCAACAGCACCTCAAAACCCCCAACCCCCCAAAGGAGGAAAGGCTCCCAGGGAGCGGCTCTGTGCAGCCGGGCGAACCCGTGACCCCCCAGCTCCCTGAGGGCAGCCCCCGAGCCCGTGCTCACCGGAGCCCGGAGAAGTGGGCATGGATGCGGAGGGAGGCGCCATACAGCTGGATGCGCTTGCTTTGGAGCTCGATGATCGCTCCAGTGGTTGGCACATACTGGGTGTGGGGAGACACATCAGGCCAGGATCCGGCTGCTGTCAATCCGAGGCCCGCCCCCTTCCAGCCTCCGGGTCACTGTGTCCCCCCATCACTGTCCCTCCTGACCTAGCTCCTCAGGGAGAACTGCGGGAGGCCGTCTCCCGCCCGCCTGCACCCCTCACCGAGTTCTCTCTGTATTCCGGGTACAGCTCCACCTCCAGGAGCTGCTTCTGCTCGGAGAAGCCGAAGAGCAGCACGCTGGAGAAGACCAGCGTGTCCAGCGTCTGCAGCAGGTTTGAGCGGTAATGCAGCATCACCTGCAGGGGGAGGCGAGGGGAGTCAGCAGCCGGGTTCTCCCGGCCGCCACTCCTGTCCCTGAGCGGCTGTGCAGACGCTTCCCCAGGTCCCCTGCCCCTCACCTTCGCCTTCTACCGTGCCCGCCCACATCTTCACCCAACGATTTAAGTGCTTGCGTGACAGCCCTGCCCTGCCAACCACATCTCTGTCCCAGCACCTACCTCGGTCCAGCCTCCACTGTCTCGAAGCTACCCCCCCCCCCCCCCCCCGCCCCATAGCACTGTCGTCCAAGAAGGTGGACTCCCAGGCGCCACCTAAAACTCTGTCCCCAGGCAGACAGTTAGGGGTTTGTTTCACGACGTGGTTCTGTTGATAAGCAAGAATGGAGCGATGCCGAGCTGGTGTGGCTCAGCAGTTGAGTGTCGACTCAGGAACCAAAAGGTCACCAGTTGGATTCCCGGTCAGGACACACGTTTGGGGTTTCGGGCTCCATCCCCAGTAGGGTGCATGCAGGAGGCAGCCGATTGACGATGTTTCTCTCTCATCAATGTTCCTACTTCTCTCCCTTCCTCTCTAAAAAGCAATAAAACCATATTAAGGTTTAAAAAAAAAAAAAAAAAAGATGGAGTTGTGCCCTAGACAGTTTGGCTCAGTAGATAGAGCGTCGGCCTGTGGACTGAAGGGTCCTGGGTTTTATTCCAATCAAGGGCACATGCTCGGGGTCGCAAGCTCAATCCCCAGTAGGGGGCATGCAGGAGGCAGTGGATGAATGATTCTCTCTCATCACTGATGTTTCTCTCTCTCTCCCTTCATCTCTGAAGTCAATAAATATATAAAAAAAGAATTGAGTCGTACATTTATTGAACACCTACTATGTGCTAACAAGCACTTTACATTCCTCGGTGAAGCCTCATAGTCTTGCTGTGAGGAGTTACCCTAATATGGCATACAGTGCTTTCCACGCAAGCGGCTACCTGGCCCCAGTTGGTATATGCTTCTGCGTGAGGATGTGGGCCCCGGTCTGTCTGGCTCCACGGAGGCCCGGATTCAGCCGTATTCAGAGCCGTTCTCTTCAGATTTTATCCCAAAGCTGGACAATGCCACCGGGCACGCCAACGCCCTTCCCCACCTGCTGTGCCTGTGACCTCGGGCAAGGCGCTTGCCCCTGAAGGCCCACCCAGACACCCTCACATCGAGACCCTCCTCCACACCCTCCCACCGGCCACCAGCACTTACGGAGCGAGAAGAAGTGGAGATGACCCGGCCGCCTCGGGTGTAGCAGGAAATGGTGACCAAGAACATGCCCAGATCTTGGTTGACTGGCGACTCTGGCACCTCGAGCTCTAAGACCACGCGGTACGGCTGTCCATACATCAGTACCTGCCCAAGGGATGGCCCGTCTCCTTTCAAAACCACGGATTTTACCCTGTGTGGTCCCTCTCCCCCTTCACCACAGCCCTGGTGGACAGTCACTGGCCTCTCAATTTCCTTGCAAGGGCATGCTGCCCCCTGCTGGCGGCTGAACCCTTCTCACCTCTGGGATCTGAATCTCTCTGCTCCATTCTGGAAAAGATTGTCAAGTTTCTTTTCCAAAAGTGAGCCAGCGTGTTGCCAACTGGGCCATCTGTGACTCAGGCCTGTCCCGGAGGCCCATCCTGCCTGCACTTACACGATTAATTAACCAAGTGCCAGAGCGCCATCTCCCCAGCCAGCTCTGCACAGGCCTCCTTACTCAGCCATTTTTGTGTCATTCTGGCCCTGATCTTGGTCGGTGAAGCCTGAGAACGCTGTGACTGGGAAGGCTTCTTCTCGGGATTAACCTCAAAATGTCAGACTTGCCACCACACACACCCTAGTGCTTCCTGACCATTCCCTATAGCGCCCTCCACAGGGTGAAGTAAAGCTTGTCTGTCACCGCAGAGGGAATGGATTTTTTGTTGTTGAAAACACTGTGCAGCCAGAGTAAACCAGATGCAGCAGCTGGCTGTGGCCCTGAGGGTCCTCAGGGCGCTTTATCACAGGGTGAAAGGTAGAAGCCGTTGATCCAAGTCTATACAGATTCTTATTTTCCGTCTGAAATATCTTTTGAAAAAAAAGGATGCCATGAGATTCCTAAGCCCCTGCAGAGGTCAGATGAGTCTAAACCAGTGGCTTCACGGAATTCTTTGAAGGATTAAAACAGTTCTCTGGCTGGTGGGAGGGAAATGGAGGGTGACTGCTAGCTGATGGGTATCGGTTTCTTTTTTTCTTTTTTAAAAATATATTTTATTGATTTTTTACAGAGAGGAAGGGAGAGGGATAGAGAGCTAGAAACACTGATTAAAGAGAAACATCGACCAGCTGCCTCCTGCACAGCCCCTATCAGAGATGTGCCCACTACCAATGTACATGACCTTGACTGGAATCGAACCTGGGACCCTTCAGTCCGCAGGCCAACGCTCTATCCACTGAGCCAAACCGGTTTCGGCTGGGTTTATTTTTGGGGTGATGAAAATGTTCTAAATCTGACTGTGGTGATGGGTGCCCGACTCTGTACATATACTAAAAATGACTGAGCTGTCCATTTTATGTGAGTGCGTTATATGTCATGTGAATTATGTACCAACCAAGCTGTCTGTGTGTGAATGCATGTGTGTATATACCGTCTAAATAAATGTTATCTCTGAGCAGATCCACAGAATCTATAATAATAGTGGAACCTTGTGACCGACTCCATGCCCACGTTCACGTGTGTCTGGTAGGCAGATTCTCCCCTTCCCTCCTGTGCCCACAGTGCCCGCCTTCTTTAAAAGGCCCACTTGGGACCTATTTCCATGTCTCGCACTCATCTCTCCAAGTCTTCACAAATTCTTCTGAAATGCAGATCCTGCATCTTACACTTAACACAGTGTATGGAACCCCATCAACCCTTCGGGTTGTCTGAAAGCAGGCCCACACCTTCTATTTTTAGCGAGGTGTTAAGCACAGAGGTGTTACGCATAGACACATTATTATCCACCCGATACATTCATTCATTCATTCAAAAATGCTTGCTGTAAATGTCAAACTCACGGCCGGCAGGTCGCATGCCTTGTTTATTTAAATGACATAGGACCCGGGACTCTTCAGTCCGAAGGCCCGAGGCTCTGTCCACTGGGCCAAACTGGCCAGGGCCTGAGGCTTTCTTTATAATCTGCTCTGTATCCTCCAGTTATTAGTATCCTCAGTCAGGGCACATGCTCAGAGTTGTGGGCTCAGTCCCCAGTGGGGGGCACGCGGGAGGCAGCCCATCAGTGATTCTCTCTCACCACTGATGTTTATAGCTCTCCCTCTCCCTTCTTCTCTGAAATCAATAGAAATATTTTAAAAATAAAAGTAAAGAAGGATGTGTTCCCATCCTGCATTTCATGGGGTTTCCAACTTAGTTGAAATCATACTGGCATCTGGCCAGTCCTATGGCACAGTACCCTTTGTAATGGCAGATTGCACATTTTCAACAGTTTCATAATTTTATATACAAGCTTTCAAAACTCTTGTGTGGATTCCATCCTGGTCCAGTGAAATAGCTGGCTTGATCCTTTAAAACACACCTCCTGTACACATATGGACTGGCTGAAACAAGCTAAGGAGAACATTGCTAACATTTGCAGGAAAGAACAATCCATAACATTTATTTAGACTAATTTTTCTTTAACTCCCCTTTCCTTTTTTTTTTTTTTTTTTAATTGAATTTCTTTGGGTGACACTGGTTATTATCTTCCCTGTTGCTGAGAGCCTTCCTTTCTTAGTCTCTGTTACTCAACCCCTGTCCTCCAGCTCCTTCTCGTCTTCCTTCCTTTTGATTTCAAGTCAACAAAGCTCTACCGGAACCTCTCTTCAGCTTCCATACTCACCCGATCACGTCCACCCTTAACTAGGGACACATTGGCAACAGGGAAGGAGCAGAGGTAGGCGGTAGAGGAATCACAGTCGGTCCTAAATAAGAATGAGATGACACTGCTAAGTCATGGAGTCTACCTTACCTGCAGGCTCCCCAGTGCTTCCTCCTGTCCCCCATCCCTTCTCCCAGAACAGGCGCCCTCCTCTGTGAGAGATGGCGGAGAGATGCAGCCAGCAGATTCAAATGCTTCTTTCATTCTCTTTCTGCGGCTTCAGCTTATTTCGCCTTAGCAGACATGCGTAAGTGGGACTCTACCAACACTTCATTGGAAAGTTTCAGATTTAAGTGTTTCTCACATGGAAAGCTTCATTCCCACCCCGATTCCCATTCAGTAATTCTAGTCTGGGGCCCAGTTTGAGAAAACTCCTTCTTAAGAGGCTCATGACCACCCTCCCCCCCAAGTTGTAGGCAAAATTGCACAAGGGAATGAGTGTGCAGCATGTGGGTGGGCATGTTGATATGTTTTTATGGCAAGAAGAGCCATAGCACCCAGTTTGGCGCGGTTCGGTGGTTGAGCATTGACCTATGAACCAGGAGGTCATGGTTTGATTCTCGGTCAGGCCACATGTCCGGTTGCAGGCTTGATCCCCAGTGTGGGGTGTGCAGGAGGCAGCCCATTCATGACTTTCTCTCATCATTGATGTTTCTATTTCTCTTCATCTCCCTTCCTCTCTGAAATCAATAAAAATATATTTAAAAAAAAAGAAGACCCATAGCTTGCATGATAGTCATAGCTCCTTAGAAATTATAGTTTATATTGCCGAAACTGGTTTGGCTCAACAGTAGAGCATCAGTCTGCAGACTGAGAAGTCCCAGGTTCGATTCCGGTCAAGGGCATGTATGTTGGTTGCCTTGCACACCCCCTCTTGCACACTCAAGGGGGTGTGCAAGAGGCAGCTGGTCGACGTTTCTCTTTCATTGATGTTTCTAGCTATCTCTCTCCCTTCCTCTCTGTAAAAAATCAATAAAATATATTTTTTTTAAAAAAAAGAAAAAGAAAAGAAATTATAGTTTATAATCAGGGACGCAGACAGGAAAAAAATATTTTAGATTATTGACAATATTGTCTGTATCAGTATCTCTTGACTGGCCATTGTTAAGACAAGGGGAGAGAACCCGGCAGGGTCTGTGAAATGGGAGGGACATGCCTCTGGGCTGCTTTCTTAACACTTCCGCTAGCAAAGGCCAGGTTAGCTCTGAGATGGCCCAAGGGGTAGGCTTGTTTCAGAAGTCTCCTGTGACCCGGAGAGAGGTCGGACCCAACTGACTCATAATGACACTCAAGAGAGACAGTCTAGGAGGGTGTTGTTTTTTTAAACCTTTTTAACCAGAGGTACAACCAGGAACCTCGACCCCCATCAGACCTGATCTGCCTTCTAGCTCTGGGCTGTGAGAGGTAAGCAGTCATGTGAGCACACTCGGCCGGTTTCCCCCTCCGCAAACGAGGGGTGGGACTGAATGAGCCCTCAGGGCCTGCAGCAGTTCTCCCACAGGCTCCTCTGACAGACCCCTCTCACCTGTAGTGGAAATGCACAGGAGTGATGTGGCTGATGGCCGGCATGTAGGAATAGTAGAAGGAGCCATAGAGGAAGACAGACATCCAGATCAGGAGAAGAATGGTACAGAAGAACACCCCAAACTGCAGCAGCAGCTTGCGGGCACGGCCTGCCATGACATGGCCCACATCCTGAGCCCACTGCAAGGCAGGTACTGGTGGGTCATTGACCATGTTAAGGGGTGCAGCGGGTCTGGCCACCGGTTCAGGCCTTGCGGCCCTAGCTGTTCCGCCACCTGGACGAAACCCCTGGCCATGGGGTGGAGCAGCTGGTGGTTCCTGGAAAAAGACAGAGAGGAGAAAAAATAGCTTCTTTTGGAGGGAGGTGGGTACAAAGGGACAAGGTTACTGGGCTGGCTTCTAAGAACCAGATATAGCAGAGTCTTTGTTTCGCATGGCCTTTCTCCAAATGACTGTTTTCCAGCCAATATCCCTCCCCTTTCCTCCACTGTGCTGTTCACACCCAGTGCCAAGGCTGCCCAAACTGGTCCTCCTGCTTCCCGATTCCGGGACAGGCCGCCTTGAGACTCATTCACAACAATACAAAACATAGAGGGTGAGCACCTTAAGGTTATTAAGGCGCTTTTACACACACGATGACACTGAATGCACACTGCGGGGTGGTTGCCCTGGGAGCAGGTGCGACGCGCCTAAAGTCGCAAAGCCAGACTCAAGAAGCAGCCGAAGCGCAGTCACAATTGCCTCCCGAGTTTCTCCTTTCCTGGAGCTGCACTCGTTCCCTGACGGGCCCGCGCCTCACGCCGGGCAGGGTGTCCCGCAGACTGTGGCCGCTCCCTGCCAGCCCCGTCCCGCTCAACCCGCCGCGGTTGAAAACAGCAACACGCCGGACGCCACAGCTCAGCGGACTCACCAGCATCGCTCGCTGCCGGGGCAACGGCGAGAGGGACTTCCGCCTCCCGGGCACGCCCCGCCCCGCCCCCTTCCGTCGACGGCCAATGCGGTCCTGGGGCGGGGCCTCGCCCGGGGAGGAGCGGGGGCGGGCCCTAGCAGAGGGCGGGGCTAGGCGCGGGGACTGCGCAGTGAGTCCGGACTGCGGGGCTTCCACCCACGCGCGCTCCTCGCTCTTCCTCCCCGCAGTCCGTCACCCTCCGGTTACCAGGCTCACGGGGACAGGCGCCCCCTCCCGCCCCAAGACAGTCCCGGGCATCTTGTGAGTCAGCAGCATCCTCTGGGCCCGCCCTCCAGGCCGCACTCAGGCCCTGCGCCCACACCGTCACCCGGGCCTTTTAGCTCCCCAAAGTGGGAGAGAGGCGGACCCAGCTGGCGCTGACTTTGGTCGCCCGGCCACAGCTCTTGGCCCGGGGGGTGCCGGAGGCAGAGCACTCGCCAGAGCCGCAGTCTGCGGGGACCTGCGTCTTGTGCCGCCCCCGCGCTCTGGCTGCCCCGCATCCACAGAGCGGTGGCATCCTGGGCCCGTGTTTTCCCTCGAGCACTCAAGATGCGGATCAACCTCCTTTGACCCCGACTAACTCTCCCTCTGGTCCCCACAGCCATCAGCCAGCCTGGGCTTTGGAAGCTGTCATAGGTCCAGAGCACCTGTGTGAGGGGGGAGCCTGCCTGGCTGCAGTCCCTGGGGGCGGGCTCTGGGGGAGGGGCAGGTGCCGAGACAGGAGCGGGGCAGTGTGTGTGTGTGGGGGGGGGGGGGGGGGGCCTGTTGCGCAGGGACTGCGGGCCTTCTGTTTTGTGTCTATTCACCCCAAATAAGAGCTCTCGGAGGGTAGGGTCAGTGTTGTGGGATCTTGGCATCCCCCACAGCACCAAGCACAACGATGCTGACGAAGGACCTAATCTCTCAGACCAATAACCACCACCCCACCCCAGGCCCCATCTATTTCCAGAAACACCCAGGACTCCCCCACAAGGTCCCTACCTCTACGTTGTTGTCCGCCACTCTGCGCCGTTGTCTGCACGCCTCCTCCGCAGAGCCCTCTCTCCGGTCTGCCATTTCTGTAGACGTTTCCCGAGGCTCCTCGCTGCTCCCAGATTTCCCGCTCGTGTTCTAGTCACTTGTGGCTAGAGCATGAAGCGGCGATCTGGAAGCTAATACCTGTAGCGCATCACATTTTCCTGGAGATGGCGAATGGAGGGTTCCTGGGAGAGAAATGAAGATTCACGTGATAAATGCTGTGTCAGAGCAGAGGGAGGAGCGGAGGATGGGGGCGACTGCCCAGCTGATGTCAGATTTCCAAATGAGCAGGGTGCCCCCCCAGCCGGTGCCGGGCCACTGCAGGGGCTCAGAGGTCCGGACCACCCGTTGCAGGGGGAGCCTGCCTGGCTGCAGCTCCCGGGGGAGAGGGCTCTGGGCCAGACTCAGGGTGCCTGCCAGGCGGGAGGGGCAGGTGCTGAGACAGGAGCGAGCGGCGGGGGGGAAGGGGGGATGCGCAGGGGCTGCGGGCAGAGCCGGCTCCCCCGCGGCCCGGCACTTGGTACACTCCAGGACCGAACCGCTCCTTCCAGCATCCTTCCTCCCGCAGGTACCAGCTGTCGGGGCAGCGCCTGAGCTCAGGAACTGGGACCAGCCCTCCGAGGAGCCCTGACCTGCCCGCCCCGGGGCCTCTGCACCAGCAGCTTCTGTGCCAGACGCTTTCTGCTGCAACTCCCCGCCAGGTGGGGCACCCACCCCGGCACCAGGCTCCGGTGCCCCCCACGGACCCCGCGCCCCAGGCCGCCGCTGCCTGTGGCCTCAGGTGAGCCGGGAGCACCCTTTCCCCTGGGGGCGCCGGGGGGCAGATGGAGACCAGGTACCCTGCCCATCAGGGCGGGGCTCCCTCTGGCTGAGGCGTTCTGAGCGGGAACGCATGGCTCCACGGGCTGAAGCGCCTGAAGTCGCGCATGTTGGGGGGTCGGTGTGGCCCAGGCTGTGTGGGGTTTTGGGGAGCACCTCCCCGACCCCCTTCATTTCCTCCGCGGAGGACGCCAGGGGTGGGGGAGGCCGCTGGCGGATGGGGATGGGGATGCGGGTGAGAATGGGGGAGAATAGACGTTGGGCACATGACCCAGCCCTATGAGGGTGGGTGGGTGAGCGAGCGTGGAGGGGCCTGGAGCGGAGTTTGCTCCGAGCTGCCCCGCCCTCCCCTCCAGGATGAAAGGGGAGACGCCTGTGAACAGCACCATGAGCATCGGGCAGGCCCGCAAGATGGTAGAGCAGCTCAAGATCGAGGCCAGCCTCTGCCGGATAAAGGTGGGCGGGCCCCGCGGGGTCAGAGATGCCGGTCCCTGGCCCCCTGAGGCCGGGAGGGCGGCTCCGGGCCCAGAGGGCTCCCAGGGCTGTGGGGGTGGGGGAGGGCAGGCGGTCCGAGGGGCGGGGGGGCGGCGAGGACGGCTCCGGGGCCCGGCGGCTACAGCCCCTCCCGGTGCCCAGGTGTCCAAGGCGGCGGCGGACCTCATGTCCTACTGCGATGCCCACGCCTGCGAGGACCCGCTCATCACCCCCGTGCCCACCTCCGAGAACCCCTTCCGGGAGAAGAAGTTCTTCTGTGCCCTCCTCTGAGCCGCCGCCCGCCCGGCCCTGGTCCCGCAGCCCCGCGTCCTCCTGCTGCTCCTGCTGCTCCTCCTCCCTCTCCGCCTCCTCCGCCTCCTCCAGCCCCTCCCTCTCCGCCTCCTCCGCCTCCCCCCGCTCCGGCCCTCACCGGGGCGGTCCCCGAAGCCCAGGGCCCGCCCTCGCCCGCCGGCGCCCCGTCTCCACGCCCCCCGGGCGCCCTCGCCCCGCCCGCCGCCCCGGGTGACCCGCGGGCCGGAGAGGGGCGGCCGGCGGCTGCCGCCGCACCTGGGCTGCGGACTGCGGGGAGGGGGAGCCATTGGAGAATAAAGTCACCCCAGCCTCCGGGCGCAGCCCTGTGTCCGCGGCCTTCGGGGAGGACGTCAGTCAGGGGGGCGCGGCCGCGGGGGCTGCGAAGCCGGGATTGGCCCTTCCGGGGGGGCCGACACCCCCTGAAGCCGGAGATCGGGGGTGGGGCTCGGGGTGGGGGTGGTCGGAGGCGGTCGGGGGTGGGGTTCGGGGTCGGGGGGCGGGCGCGAGGGCATCAGCGGTAGAGCCGCCACAGCGGCTCGGCGGCCACGGGAGACGCGCCCCGCGAAGGCGAGTGAGACAGAAAGCGACGAACCGAGTGGCTCAGGGAGGGAGCCGGGCGGCGGCCGCCGACGCGAGGCGCCGGGAAGGGAGGGAGGAGCCCGGCGCCGGTTCCTGCCGAGAGGCCGGCCTCGCTCCTAAGATGGACGCGCCCACCGGGCCGCTCCAAGATGGCGGCCGCCACGGGCTGGGGCGGCCCACGTCACCGCGCTCGGCGCTCCTCGGCCGGCCCAGTCTTAAAATGGCGGCCCCGGGCTGGCGTTCTCAATATGGTCCCTTCCGCGCTCGCCTGCTCTCAAAATGGCTGCCCGTCCTCGCCACCTGGAGAGCCGCTCGCACCCGGCCCGGCCCGGCCCGCAGCCGACGCGCCCAGCCCCGGGGAAGGCGGGGGAGGCCGCAGCCCGCGGCCGGCTCCGGGCTGGCAGGCAATCGCGGTTCTCCAGCTGCCGGATGGCGGCCCCCCGGGAGCGCCTGGGTCCCCCCCCAGGCCGGCCTGCCCGCCCCACATGCCTCCCTGCCTCTCCCCCCGTGCGCAGACCGGGGCACCAGGCCGAGGCCGAGGCCGGCAGCCGCAGGATGCCGCCCCCCCGGAGTGTCAGGCCCCCAATCCAGGGAGATACACACACACACATATATGTATATATATACATATACATACATATATTTTTTTGGGGGGGGGGTGCGGGAGGCATCTGGTAATGGGAGGTGACCTGTGGACAGCCATCACCCAGGCCCCGCTCTCCCATGGGAAGCGAGGGGAGGGTAGTGCGGAGGACACGGCTGCCCTCCCGGGTGGAGACCCGGCCGTTTCCTGTTGGCAGCAGCTCCCCGGAGCTGCTGAGGCCTGAGGCCTGGCGCATGGCAGCACTGGGCACCAAGTGCGGAGGATGTGCGCTGTGCAGGCCGGAATGGCGGGCGGGGCGACACCGGGGACCTTTCTCTTCCTGCTGCCTCTGCGCTTGGCGGGGTCCAAGGAGTAAGTGAACATTTCCACTCCAGCTCAGACTGGTAACAGCCGGAGTGCTCAATAAATGTGATCTTGGTACTTAAAAAAACAACAAACACCTCTGCTCAACTTCTCTGCCCACGGGTTTTCATACCCGCATACCAGGGGCCATGCCGCGGAGAGACAAGGCCTGAGCTGTGAACCAGCACTAAAGTGGTTACAACAGGCGGTAACCGCCCCCATGGAGAATGGCAGGCCCTGGGATGGAGGGGAGCCTCAGGGTGCTAACGGTGGGCCCTGTCCGGTCCGAATTCGTCCTGTAGCAGGAAGCCAGGCGGAATCCAGACCCATCACGGATCCTGCAGACACTGTGCACCCAGCCCTGGTACGTCCCTGTGAGAAAGGACAATAGGACCAGTGCAGCTAGTGCAGTAGTGCGTTTGATTCTCCAAGTTCACTAGGAGACAACCCCCATCAAACACCCTCTGTGGAATGACTAGGCTTTACTCAGAAGTGGCAATTACTCATGAATAAACTTATCTGGCTATAAATGGAATCTTAGGTTTCACTTCAAGCATCCAACTGGTTTTAGTATAGGGCCTATACTACAGGCCAAATGCAGAGATCTGAAATTATTTGTTTTCTTCTATTCCAATGGCTCAAGCTCTTAGCATAAGCAAGCACTGAGTAGGCCAGCAACCCGGAGTGAAGGCATGGCTGGCACCCAAGTGAAGCCTCGGTCCAGTAGGAAGGAATCGGCCATCCAGGAGGAAAGCCATCCTTGGTTGGACCCAGTGCGACTGGAAGCAGCATCTAAAGTAAATAAACCCCCCAGATGACCCGCTCCACCCCTCAGTGCAGCCACAGGACAGAGAGTGAATTCAATCCAAATGGTTATTTATTCTAAAACTGGAAGCTACTGTGCCTACAGAGTTGCCAGAATGTTGTAATGAGAAGGGGGGGGGGGGGGGGAGTTACAGATGTAAACAATGACACAGTTACATTTGTTTAAAAATGGTAAAACCCTTTTTTACTGGCCACTTCCAAGAATGCTTTACAGGTTGTGCAGAACATTTACAGGCGCCATGTGCTGTTTTTCTCACAAGCGTTTCCATCTACAACTACAACAGAGGTCTGATAAAACACTAAAATCTTATAAGGAAAACAGGCTAGGGATCCCTTCTGTTAATCCACATTTGCCCCCTTAACATTTTTTTTTTAATAATAAAAAGACAGAAACAAAACCCAGACATCTAGTGTTGCTGTGAGCGCTCAGATTAAACCAACAAGGACGTGGCAGTTTCACTTTCCACCCACCTAGAAAAACAGCTTTTTTTATTGTTGTAAAGGTGACTTTCTAGTGTCAAAATTTAACAGCAAGTACCTTCCCTAATCCTCCCTCCCCCTCAGAAACCCAAAGGGGCAGAGTTTGTCCCCTGGCCCTGAGGGCCGAGTATCCACACGTCAGAGACCACAAAAGGATGCTCTTTGCTGGAGGGCTGGATATTTAAAAGGGGTGGCCGTTTCTGCCTCAGATTTCATCTTCTATTATAACATGATCTTGCCCTAAGAGAATTTCTTTGGGCTCCAGTTTGCACCTCCTTGGCCTGATACTATGAGCAAAGCTTCTCAAAACCCCCTTAATAATAAAAAGTTAGTGGGTTACAGAAAAGTTCATGCAATCACTTCACCCACTGCCACACACAAATCCATTCGACGGCACCACAAAAAAAGCAGTGTCCAGAGAAGACATCGTGAGCAAGCAAAGTTACTTCTACCAGCCCCCATTCCAGCCCGGGGGTCAGAGGGGTCTGTGGACAGAGGGTATCACAGACAGGCAATAGAGCCAGACGAGAGCCTGCAGACCCAGAGAAGGGCTGCATGGTGGTCACAGTGGGAGAGGGTGAGAGATCCAATCTCGGCACAAAATTTTAAACACAGAACTGCTCAGGTGAGGAAATGGAGGTGAAGCTTTTTCTAGTAACACTACCTAGGATCTTGCCTCACCAGGAAGCGCTGCAACATGTGGTATTTGCTGAAAAAGCTCTTGGCGGACTCCATGCTGAGCTGCTGAGCAGGAAGATGGATTAAAATGGAAGCTACATCTGAAAGAGCATCCCATAGCCCACCATATCCCTGAACCCGGCCCTGAAGCTGTCAGGAACTGGGAGGGTGTTGGTAAAGTTGCAAAGACCATCCCAACTGAAATCTCTTGGCTAGAGGCCTCTCTGGGGACACGCAGGTAAAGCACCCCAGAAGGAATCTTGTTTCAAGAAGTCAACAAGGGGCGCCCTTTCATGCACACATTCCACACATTCACTCCCCCCGACCTGCGGCAGCCCCACTGAGCTGCCTCCCACCCCCCACCCTCCCGTCTAGTCACTGTCTACCTGTGTATCAAAAAGACCAGCGGGCTGTGCCCTCCATACTGTATAAAATAGTTGCTATTCTCAGCACCTGGGCCTGGCAGCCCACCACAGGACTCACTATATACATATCCGGCTGCCATGAAAAGAATCCTGCTTCATTTCTGTGTGAGCGGAAACCCTGAGAAACGTTCCTTCTCTTGCACTTTAAGAGGACAGATACTCTAACAGAGATGATTTCAGAGACTTCATGCCTAGCTCAACCTTGGAAGACAGGGCAGACTGACGATCACCATCTTCAGGCTGAGGCCTGCAACCCCATCCTCCTCCAAGACTTGATGGGAATTCATTAATGGGTACAGAGAGGGTGCAAGCTATTCTGCTGTGTGAACAAGCACAGCCCCTGCCTCCTTAGCCTGGGGGTCCTATATAATACACCCACCAATGGGTGGTCTCCAGGCCTCAGCCAAACAGCACGAAGGCACAGGGAAGTGGAGACAATGCCGCTCTGGCCTCCCAGCCCACCAGACCAGATATCCCAGGAGGGAAAGGTTGGTAAAGAAAATACAAACGGTTAGTTGGTGCAAGTGATTGATAAGAGCCAATCGTTTATTTCACTGCCCCAGTCACAAGCTCTCCCTCTGTCCCACTCCTGCCTGCTACGGAGAGTGCCCTCACGTGCTCGCTCCCCCTCCTCCACACGCCTCCTCACTCTCCCTGGCATGGCTGTGTCAAAGGGTGACATTTCAGTCCTTTTCCTGTCCAACTGCAGGGTATAGGACAGGCAGCCCTAAGTGCTGCTTTCTGAGCAAATGTTTTTTGATTACAAATATCTAACTAGGTTTGAAATGTTTTATAGAATAAGACAATATTCTTTTCAACAAACTTTAAAAAAAATGTACAGTTTTGTTGTCTGTTTCCACCTCCCCCCTCCCCCACCCTTGCTTGCGCACCCTCCCTCCCACCACCCCTCCCCGGCAGCTCAGCCCCACCCCGACAGCCCCTGTTTTCCTTGGTTGTGTTTTGGGGGATGGCTGGCACCCCCAGAGATTCAGCTTCATGGCTGACAGGTGACAAGGGCAGAGGCTTCACCGATACCCTTGGTAACCGTAGTAGTTCCTGTAGTATCGGTCTCTGTCCTGGGGGTGGTGGTAGTAGTAATTCTGCCACTAGAAGAGAGGGGAACCCCGTCACCTGAGGCCACAGCTGGCTGAGGACCGAGAGGCGTGGCACCCAGCCCTCTGGCCCTGCCCCCCTTCACCCTCTCTATCCCCAGAAGATACTCACATCCCGATTGTACTGTCTGTAATAGTCTCTGTATCTGTTGTACTCATAGTCTCGGCTATAGAATCGATCATAATCTCCCCGGTATCGGTCGTAGAAATTACGGTAGCCCTGAGAAAGGAGAAAGAGGAGTGAAGACTTATGGGTTTCCGGTATCCCGATCCACTGCCATCCCCGTCTTAAATGAAACACACCTCAGCTGGACTTGGTAACAGACTTAATCTTCCCAGGTTAATTCTTCCAGAGGAACACATTACATGGGCACAAGCTCAGCCCTGAGAAAACAGCCCAAACCACTCTGCTCCCCCAAGCCAATAGGATGCTAGCACGGCCCAGAGGAGGAGCAGGAGAGCTGCACTCACCCCTCTGTTTCCAGACTGCCCCCAGTACTGCTGCCCGTAGGCCCGGTTGTCGTAGCCTCGGCGCTGCCCGCCCACTGGAAGAGAAATGGGAGAGCGCGCTCAGACAGCTGGCGTGGGGTCCTGGCTCCAGGGCTGAGTGGAAATCAAAAAGTTGGAGCCCAAGGCAATTCTGGGAGAATAGGAGGCCTGCTTCTGCCAGGCTCACACAAGGTTAATTACAGCACTAGCCAGGATCTCTTAGAAAGTCTGAGGGGGAAGGCAGAGGAATAGCGACACAAGAAAACCAAGCCGCCTTGCTTTTGAAGCTCCCCAATTCCTGCAGAATACTTCAGACGGCAGAGTTAGGAACATCAGTAAATACTGCCATTCACAGAACCACCGACTTTCAACCCTGGGAGGGATCCAGGGGTGATGTAAGCCCGGCCCACCATCTTATACAAACGGAAAGAGGTCTAAGTGACCAACTCCCCAGGGTAGGCACTGTTGGTATTCCCAGTGCCTAGCATGTAACAGGCATGCAAACATTTTGTTGACTTGCAAACACACACACACACACACACACACATTTTTAAAGGGCAGTGAATGCACAGTGGAAGGTTAACTGACAAGCTAGACATTCAAGAGGGATATTAATTCCACTAGTAGCCTAATTTACTTTGTAGCCCCCAAATTACTGAATAATGCATTCACTTCCTGGTCTATAGGGTTGGGTTGATCCACTAGAGAGACAGAGCATGAAGAAAACTTAAAGTGAGGATCCAATTTCACTGCACAAATCCTTTAGAGATGAGGCAACAGTGAGGTGGGAAACCTACACATACAAGTGAAAACCAGACTAAGGAGCAGGCCCAAGCACTGCTTTTCACAGAAGCAAATATCTGTGTTGAAAAATAAGCACCTTGTACACAAAGGTTATGGAAAAAGCACAAGAAGCCGGGGTTAAAGCCACAGGAAGAAATATGCTCCATAAAGAAGTCACTTCCTTATTCCTGGTTGGTGACTGGACTTGGTTTCCTTATGGAGCTGCTCAACACGAAGCACAGACCGGGGCCAGGGGCTGGCTGGCCCCCAGGACTCACCATAGCCTTGGCCTTGGCCTCGGCTTCGGTTCTGCCGGTTGCGCTTGTTTCGATTGTTTCGGCGGTTTGTCCGTTTCTCAGAGGGGGGCAGCAGCTTCCTTGCCTCCTCCTTGTACTTAGTGACAAGAGGCTGCGCTTCCTCCTTCTCCAGCTCCCCGTATGTCACCTCATCCATGTAGTCGCATTTTTCAGGCAAAGAGAAGTTGGCTGTAAGAGTAAGAGAGAAGCTTGTGGGCCTGAAAAGTACATTATAAAAACGATCTCATTATGAAAACTATTTCAGGAGGAATGAGATTTCCTAAGCTCCTACTAAATGCACAAAAGTACTACTGGTACATTATCTACCGTAGACTTTCCCTAAACTGTAACAGCCACAGGCAAAGGGCTGCTGTAAGTGGTAGATGCACAAGTTCTCAAGTGATCCATAATAAATTAGGAGTCAGCTGGGTTAAGGTTTCTTATCAGGACTGAAGCAGGGAGCCAGGGGCTAAAAGTAACTGAGTAAGTTTTGGTGTTGGTTAGATAAGACACTAAGAAATACAAGTTCAGAGGCTGAGTCCCAGTGGGATTCAGTTCAGTGGGGGCTCTCTGAATTCTTAGATGAATCCAGTTAACCCTCTTAACTAAATTCCTCCAACTGCCGGTCAGTTAAGGACTGGCATAGTTCATTCTGTCTAAACTCGGACACTCTGGCTCTTAATGTGTAACCAGCTCCCATCCCTGAGTGTTGAAAATCGCACTCTGAAGGGAACAGCAGGATGTGGGATCAATCAGGACAGGTAATTCTGCCTCACGGGGACTTTGCTATAGGCTTTGTATTGCATTAAAGATTTCAGGCTCCTACCAGAAACCAAAACAAGCAAGCCTAATGTGTTATCAGAAATCAAGACATAATGAGATCGTTCAATCCAACCACTGTATTTTGATTTGAATCATAATACTCCCCCCGCCCCCGAATATAAGTGACTAAAGCAGAGCTTCCTTTCGTTCACAATTGCCCTACATCTAGAATAGTGCGAGGCAAGTAGAGTTTTAACTACCCTGTGGTCAATCACTATTGTATCTTACCCAGAATGACCAAGGCTAGTGCTTCTCCTCTCACTCTGCTCACCCCTTTACCTACAAGCACGCACATCCGCTAATTTACTCGCCAGGCTGACACTTTAGGTGCGGAGGGTCCCTCCCGGGCTGAGAGCCTAGCGAGGTGTGCGCTGACCAAGGACAGTGCCTGACTTGCACGGTTTCCGCCCACCTTTCATCTCCAGCATGATGGACTCAGGCACATCATCCCCCTCCACTTCCTTCCTCCACTCCAGCCTCTGCTTCCAGTCCTCCTCGTTCGGGACAACCACCACCACTTTCCGAGAGAACGTCTTAAACAGCAGCAGTTTCCGCCGTTGGCCGGAGTTGTACACGTTACACTAGGGACAAGAATAAAAATCATCAAATTCAATGAAAACACTTACTGAGCATCCTTTACAAATGAGGCACCAGATTAGGAGCCTTACGCACACAATCTCCTTCGATTCTTTAAACTCCATGTGACAGACAGATATTACTGGGTTTTGCACATCAGGAAAATCCAGACTCATTGAGGCCAAGACTTGTCCAAGGTAACAAACCTATCAGTGGGGGAGCCAGGAATCCCTAGGAATCCCTAACGCTCTTTCCCGGCCTCAAGGATGTGCTTCCCGCTCTGGGCTCATATGCTCTCAGGTGAAACACTAACAGAAGACCTCTCTGAGTTCAATAGACATTACAACAATAACATCCAACCTTTTGGGCATAATTAAGGAAACCGACTCTGTCCCTTAACTCATTATCTTTCTATATACAAATGCACCCCACTTTGACTCTAGGCAATTGTATCAGATTACATGGATGCTGAAATTTTCATCTTGGGATTTTCTGGAAAATGAGGCTGCTTCTGAATGTCTGAACAATACCTGATCAAGAATGAAGTTCCTCTTTGTCCGGGAAGCAATCTGGACCAGTTTACTAAGGCACTGGGAGGCTTGCTGAACTAAAAGGTCTCGGCTTTTGGGGTCCATTTCTGGCTCCTCAAGCCCCTTCATCTGATGAGTTTGAGAGGAAAGGAAGAGAAACACAAGAAGTTATACAGCAAGTTAAAGCCCAAGAGTCACAGGTAACTGTCACTTCTTTAAGGCCACCAAAGCTGTCACATCAGTTCATTCCTACTCCTCAGTGCCATGAATGTTGTCCATTTTATGCAGGAGTCACTTCTAGTCTTAATCTGAATACATTCCAGATTTTATCATCTTTCAGAAATATAACACAGCCAAGAAGAAGAAGAAGAAGAAGAAGAAGAAGAAGAAGAAAAGCCCTCCCTTTAACACGTATTGAGAAGAATTCCTTTCTCTATTTGTGTTGTCAGACACTTGAAAGACTAACTACTGGGAGAAGGTTATAGGAGCATCTTTATACCTTCAGTGCGAATACCCAGTTGATTCATCTCTTGCAGCAACTCACCCTCATTTGACTGAGGACAGTCTCAGCTCCCAGGACATTGTATCTTTTCTCAGGGTTTTCTTTTGAGTATTTCAGTGCCCACTGAGTCTTTCCAGATCCGGGCAGTCCCACCATCAGAATCACCTGCAAACAAACAAAACCAGGGATGCCATAAAAAATAAGCAAGGCTCATGTGTAAAAGCCCACTTTAGTAATACCCTTCCTCCCTTGCCCCAGGTCAGAACTTTGAGAAGAGCCACACATCCCCACCCCCATGGCTCCACAGCATGAGCACTAAGCCCCCTGCACACGTGCTGCACACCTCACACTCCTCCATGGTCTTCGGGGGGACCGCAGTGCGCACACGCTCCTCCACAGGCACAGCGTGGATGAACACAAACTCCTCCGGTGGCGGGAAGAAGGGCTCCTCCTTCTGACCAAAATTTAACTCTACAACACAATTTTTGCAGAGGACATGGGGTAGGAGCGCCCGGTCTGCCAGGAATTCCTTGTTGATCCGGAATGCCACACCAA